GATTACATATTTTTTTGTTATTATTTGATTTTTTTTTTCTTTTAATTTTAACCAAGGTAGATTATTCGTTTTCTTAAATTGAAAAATTTTTAGATATTAACTAGGAAAAGTAACGGTATAGGAACACTTTAACATACTACTATACTATAGACTGAGGATTTTTTATTTACCAGAATCTGTTGATGGAAAATATTCACTCCCAGATTCATTTGACTTTTCAATTGGTTCTTTTCTTTCCGTATTTATTTTCAATTCTTTTTTTGTACTGGATGTTTTAATTTTAGGTTTATGAACCATTGTTGAAAGTTTGGATTGAGATAACAAATACTTTTCCAACATACCTTCAGAGCTAAAAGTTTTTAGATCCAAATACATTTTTAAAAATATTTCAAATACTATATGAACAGCAATGATGTAGGTACATTACAACAATAATATACCTTTTGGACTTTTTTTGTGAAACATCTGTTGAACCAAATGGTGTCATTTCTCCTGTTCTAATTTTACGTTCATATTCAGTTTCTTCGATTCCTAATACTCCTAAAGTCATTGCAGGGACCTCACCAGTGTTTAAAATAGTTTTACTATCCAATACATCATTGGTAACTTGTTGTAAAACTTCTTGTTCAAAATGATTCACATCATACACAGTTAAACCCTCTAGATCTTGCAATTCTATAGGCTACAAAAAATATACAAACATTTGCATATTATTTATAATTTAATTTTTACATGTATTTGTAAATACTTGGTTAGTTCTAGGAATAGCTTCAATTTTGTTCCTGTCAATGTTCATTACACTACTATTAATGGTACCTCTTTCTACATCCATGACTTCTAAATTATTAATAGTTAACTGATCCAATGATTCCATCATTAAATACTGAAAAATAAAAATGTTGTTTGGTGATTTAATATTTTTTTCTCTTCACTTAACAAAACATGTTCTCATATACAATCATCAGGGAATCAAACCACACCTGATGAAATTGCATATACATATTAAAGAACACCTCCACCAAATTGTACACAAAGATTTTTTACATATTAAATGTTGTATGTTATCCTTGGTTTGATATCCTGACAATTGATTATATCATTGCTAATGATTACCTTCTATTGGAAGGACATTCCGTTTCAAAAATGATTGTCGACATATAAAGTTAATAAAAGAAACAAACATTTGAAAATAAAAAGAACAATATAGGTAATAATTTAATAAACGTACTATTTTTTGTCTAAAAATTACAACAATAATAATTAATGACTACAATGATTTATGTTTATAATAATTCAATAACATACAACATTAACTATAACAAATAGATTTTTTACAGTATTAATTGAATTTCGATGGTTCAGTCAATGAGTACATAATTTGCATAAAATACAACTTATTAAAAAAAAAAAAACAATGTGACAATATAAATGTATAAGAAATTTAGAAGAATAATTTTTAAATAAAGTACTGAGATAAAAATGAATAGCACTCCTGTCATCAAAATAAACCATCATTTTTTGAGAATAGAATTCACACACACTACATTGTCTTATAACACATTTTACATTATATAATAAGCATACACTTATAAAACAATCCCGAATAATAATTGAAAATGCATTGTTACAAACAGAAATCACTACAACTTAAATATTGTAGTAAATCAATTTATAGTAATTTAAAAATAATTTAATGCAACACTACAGTATTCGATGGTTAGATTAATTAAATAATTTTAAAAATTCTTAGATTAAACTATTACAGATCTAAAATTATAAAACTCAATAATTCAAAAATAATAAATATAATTTAGTATCATAATAATAGGATATATAGCTGATAGATCAATTTTGCCCAAGAGAACAACAAAAAGCTGAGAAAATTATAACAAAATGTTAAACAATTAATGTAAAAAATAAAAATAAATTTTAATACTTTCACAGTATTGAAAATGTAAGGATGTTAATTGATGTTTTATGAAAAAACATAAATGTATAAATATATATATATATTTTATTTTTTAAGTTAAAGTAAAAAAACATGTTTAATTTCAAAAAATATATTATTATATGGATGGAATCACATATTAAGTAATATCAGTTTATAATTATAAAATAATACATAGCTACTAATGGCAATATAACAGAAAGCTGGAGGATAAATTTAATTATTTTAAAAGATATTTGATCCAGTTTTACAGTTTGATAAAATTGTGTTGTTTTTAACAAAGATTCATTTTATAAATTAATATAAATTTTTGTTTATGACAGGTATTTGGTCTTAGAATTCAATGTTTTCAAATACAATAATACCTGAGCTCAAAAAACATTCATCAATTCTATAACTAATAATAATAAAATTATAAATAATATTGTTAATTGCACTTATTCAGCTGTTCCTGTTAAATAGGACAAATATGAATAAAATCTAATTACTAAGACTAAAAATAATACTATTGATGGTAACGCAAAAAATAAGTGGAAATTTGGAGTTTGTTCTAACTCTTTGCATCTCAATGTGATTTGCTCTAATTCATATTTCAGATTGTTTTTTTCCGTTAAACATAAATCATATTCATTACGAATTTGATCTAATTCATTTTGGTCAAATACTGAATCTTCTTTAGTGTCCACTGTATCAGAGCTGATTTCTTGAATCAAGACTTCATTTACAACATCATTTTTTTGTATTTGGGATGCATCATTTAAAGTTTCTGTTTGAGACACTTTTAAATCATCTAAACTATGGTCAAGAATTTTTGAGTTACTAAACGAGCAAAGATTTTTTTGTAGTATATCTGGTATATTATGTATATTATTAGAGTCAATACTTGATACTTGACATAAATATTCAGACATCAACAACAGTACAATATCTTTACAAGAAATCTCTTTCTTAAGATGTTTTATAGTAGATTCTTGATCATCCAAATTAGTTATACAATCCAGCAGTACATCTTTTGCTTCAGATAGTCTAAATTCAATAACATCAGATTTCTGTTTGTAAAAATCTGTTTGAATCTCAATATCTTTAGATAATACTTCAATATTTTTTAAACTATCATCATTTAATATAATCATTTTTAGTTGATCAGGATCTGTATTATCTGTTTCATTAACATTTTTTATCTTGGTACAGTTCACTAACAATTCATGATTAAGATCAAGTTCTGTCTGTAACTGGCATACTTGGTTTTCTAAATCAGCTTTTTGTTTTATGTGTTTTTGCATTTGACTTTGTAGCGAGTTCATTTGATTTAGATATGTCTGACGGTCTTGTAATATATGTATAATATAAGACATTATATCATTGAAGTACTTATTTAGAGAAATATCTTCAGTGAGCTCATGTTCATTTTGTAAGGTCAAAAGAAGTACATTGCGTGTATTGATCTCATGATTCATTTTAGCTATTTCCGCTCGTAATCTTTCAATTTCTTCACATTTATTATGAAAGTTCATTTCTATTTCATTTTTTGATTCTTGTAGTGTTTTTAATTCGGTTACATGTAATTCTTTTGATGCATCAAATTCTTTCATACTGTTTTCATGATTAGCGACTTCTATATTTAGCTTAGAACACACTTCTTTGATTTCATCTTGTGCATCATTCAGATGCTTCATCAAGGCACTTTGTTCAGTTATGGAATGTTTCAACAGATTTTCTAATTCTTGACATTTCTGCATCAATTTCAACTTTTCTTCCATTTCTTTTTTCAAACAATCTTTAGCCATTCCTTGGTATGAATATTTATATTGTTTTAAATCACATATTTCCTGTTTCATCTCATCTTCCCCATGATCTTTTTTGTAGTACTGCAGTTGATTTTCTAAAAATTCAATTTTGGATAATAAACGATCCTCAGCAACGAGGGCTTTCCAACTATTATCTGTTTCTCCAATTATGTTGGATAACAGCCTTTCTAAATTAAATAATTTGTTTTCTAAATTTGCCTCCCTATGCATTGCATCTCGTATATAAGCATCTATGGTGTATAAATCTTGAGTAGATACATCACTGATGAAATTTTCAACAGGATTCGATTTAGCCTCTGTACCGTCAGCATGATATAGTTTTAAGACAGCTGTAATACAGCCGTGAGATATGTTTTTAGAATTCTCTATCACGTCAACACCGAACTGGACTACATCTCCACTGAACACTTCTTGTGGTTTAGACTCTTCGCCACTTTTACTGAGTCTGTGATTGTTAACAAACGTGCCATTACTACTTTTTGTGTCTTGTAAAAAAAATTTTCCATTTTCATGCCATAGCAGGGCGTGGTTTCTAGACAAGACTTTACAATCAAAAATCCCATTATGTGGACTTACTTTGGCTTTAGCCAACAGACGTCCAATCTTGACTGGTTGATCGAGGGCGAGTGTACGCTCTTCAAACGGATGCGAGTTGGCACAATACTGAAGGATTGCTTTGCAAACAGAATTGATAACCGTTATTGTATCGTAATTCATAATTTCAATCATCACGGTTGGTTAATGTACATTTTTTAGTTTTTAAACCTAAATGACTGTTACTATAAATATATAGTCTTAAGTTACCTTATCGTAGTATTAATTAGTATTTTCAAACAATGCGATTTGACAAGAATTTTAGAGTATATTTTACACGTCAACTACAAAACGGTAATAGAAACAGACAGAATCTACGCCACAATAATAATTATGAAATGCAAGAAAAAAAAGAATAACTAGAAGAGCCAAGAAACGATTAATAGAATAACAATTACGCGAAATATCTATCGTATATCGATGGAATTTGTCTCTTGATAACGTAATTATAGTAATAATATTGTGTCAACATATTATTATTTTTTAATATATATATATATACATATGTAAGACACAAAAACCATAGATTGAGGAATTTTGCAGTGTAACCAACATTACCGAGTTCCACACAAAATAAAGTATTATATTATTATTATCATAGTTCACTATTATTGGCTTTCTATAAATTGTTTTACGTTATCACGAATTCGGGAGTTCGATTCTAGAATCTCAAATCTGGCATATTCTATTCTCTGAATAGTGGAGACTACGACTGGCGATTGCCGACGAGTGCATTATTTTCGAATATCAATATATTGCCCGGCAAATCAAAACGCTACACACGAGTGTCGTGTACGCCGTACACGACGATTTTTGTTGTATTGATAAAAAAAAATTGGCCTCTTTATTTTACTTTTCATTAAGACACCGTTCACGAGTGGCGTTGAATTGTTATTCGAAGGCGACTTCTTTCTCATTACGTACTCAAAACTTAAAAAATTAGAACACGATTCCGGAGTCGAATATGGGTAAATCTGACTTTCTATAGATATGGTTGATTGTTTGAACATGCAAATTGAATATGACGACCGTCTGGTACTCTGGCCTAGCCACAGTGAAAATAACAATCAATGCAGTCTTAACTATTGCTTTTTAATTTCAGCTGTTTCCACGGGCATGTCATTCCTTATATCAACGCTTCTAGCACTGTCACTGTTCTCAGTCATGCAGCTCAACAGCAAATGGTTGACGTCTAGTTCAGTGTTGGTCATAGGTACTGGATTTCTTGGCTCAGTGTTGTTTATGCTGTCCTTGACTGTATCCTTTATTGTTTTTAGTTGTGTACCTACGTACAATATTTGCATTATCGTTTAACAAGACATGTTAACACACTTTAACTAGTTTGATAAAATGTTTTCACATACTTATTTCAAATAATCAAATCACATTTTTCAAGTACTTTTGCGATCTATTAACATGTTTATTACTTGGTTCCATTTTGGACTAATAGTTATTAATAATAAATAAATAAAATATTCCTAATAATAATTTTATCAATTTTAAGTAAATAAAAAAGTATATACAGTAATTGATTCAGAGTAAACTATAGTGGAGCCTCATAAATAATACTAAAAAACAATGGAATGTGTCATTTTTGTGTAATGTGTACTTACTACCTACACATTTGGAAATCAATTTGTAAATAAATTAATATTAAATCTTGTCTTAGATCAACAAAGGCTTAAGGAAAAATATAAATATTGTTATCTGTACTTACAATTATAAAATAAATAAATCTTTACAATATATTATCTACTTAGTACCTACAATTTTAAAGATTGTTTATAAAAAAAATAATAAATATTTAGTAGTCACAATTTTTCCTTTACTATATGATTTCTAGGCTGTAAGTAATCTAATGACATTACTTTTGGGAGAAGGATATCAAGCTAGCTTATTTCCAGAAAGTAAGTAGAATAAATATATTAAACAATACATAGACTATTGAATGTTAAATTGTATTTAAGTTATGTATTATTGTATGATTTTAAAAGTCAAATAGCTATATAAATATACATTTATTTTAAATCATTACTAATCAATACTATAGCAGATCAATTCTATGCTTTAAGTAACTTATTTAAGTATTAATTAATAACAATAATAACAAATAATTTTTTTATTGCTAATTTAAATAATTATTTTTTTTCAGTTATTTTGTCATTATTGTTCACTTTTTTCACATGTGTCTCTATCCACAGAGTATGTGCTACAACCGGGTAATTATTATGATTTATTTTTATATATTTTACTACAAAAATGAGATGGTTAATTAAATTTCGTTCCTCAAACATTTAAATTTAAAAATATTTATCTACTTGTTTCTTATTAAATGTATTCATATTGATTAATTAAACTTAACAGTAAAATAGTAAATAATCAAATGGAAAGTTCAATCAATTCAAATATTAACTTGAGTTACAAAATATTTTCAATTTTAAAATTTATTATTCTTTTAATTGTTTAATTAGACAGAGACCCCCCTCCCCCTTCCCAGTGTATTGACTCCATTTTTCTAATGCATAATATATCGATTTTTTTACACTAATCAGAACTCATTGTACTATTATTTTAAATGTTGAAGTGAACCGACATATTTTTAAATTTAAAGTTAAGAATATCAATCATGGTCCCTCATAGGTTTTAATTTTTAAGCAAGTTATGAGCATTATAAAACCGTAAATGTTGATAAAAACCAACAAAGGACTCTTAATAATATTTTTACCTACAAATTTGATAATAGGTTAGTAATTCACTCTAATATTTAAAACAATGGAGTACAATGGATCCTTTTAAATATAAAAATTGGTATGTTATATGTTTATAATTTGGAGTCAATACATGCGCCTCTTGATTTAGAAGTTACCACAAGGGCGTCCCTAATTTGTTTTTCGAGGGAAGGAGAGTGAACCTGTTATAATCTATAAATTTATCATTTTTTTATAATATATGATAGGAAAAATATACATTAAAAAAATTAATTTGTATAGTACCTGCATATTTTTTTCTCATAATGTAATAACTAATAACATTTTAATCATTGCTATTTTAAACACAACATATTAATTTGTTTATTCCAAAAATTGGCTGTAGGAAGTTTAGTGCTTACCCCCTTATTACCGTTGAGGATGTACTTGACATATTAAGAATGTATTTCTAATTTTTATGCTAGTTAATACCCAGCCTTAAAGACTTGTGTTGTAATAACTAATAATATTGATGTATTTACATTTTTCAGTCTGCTGTTTTCTTTATTCGCACTTTACAATATTTATAATATTTCTCAAAAGACATACAATTCCAGTTCATTGCTCAAACAGCCCATTGTACAGAACAAAAAGAAGAAACATTAAGTATAAAAATACAAATTGGTTTGTACCATGTTCATAATGTACCGAACATTTGATGTTTTATACCTACTATTTATTTTTTATTGTCATTCCCTAAGTTAAAAAATTAACATAAATTATTTGTATTAAAAGTAAGTTTCAATTACTTCTAAATCCGACTGGTTTCTTTATTTGATAATATTATTATTATTTATGTGTATTGTACGCTATGCGGTGATTTTACATATTATAACATAATATGATAATTATGGAAGTAGTAGTAGTTCGGTACAACATGTTAATGTACATAGTTACCTAGTTATTGTGCAGAGAAAACTGGGTACGAAACTTACATAATATTATTATAGTTAACAGGTACATATTTCTCTGTTCAGAATAAAAATAGTAGGCAGTGGCCGTGTTGTGCACATGAATGTGGCAATATTACATGATAGGTATATAGATTGATGACTCGGTGGAGATAACAGACTTCACAAAAATTTGTCACCGCCAAATACTATTCTTATTATGAACAGAGTATAGGTAAGGTGTTGGGTGGTTGAGTGGCCAGAGGATTAATAATAATTATTTGTAGCTTTCAGCATATAATGCAGAACATTAGCATACCTATATTTTGGAATAATGAAAACTGTCATCTACCGATTTATATATATTTATATTAATGGTTTTTTCTTTTTCCTCTATGTATTCAGTAACTACTAGTATGATTTCAATCAAGTTACATCATTATAATATATTACTTGAAACTCTGAGGGTGTTTCTAACATATTTTTCAACTGATTAAGGATGGCTTGCATTTATATTTAGTTTTAGCACAGGAAAATAAAATATTTTTGATACAATTTATATTTTAAATATCAGCTACCAATTATAATACTTTTATAATTGGTAGAAATAAATATTAAAATAAAAAATATATAAGACAACAAAATTAGAAGATTTGAGAATAAATCAAAGTTTGCGAAGAAACCTACGTATCACACAAGTTATCACTCTAGTGCCCCACATAGGTAGCCAAGTAGGTACCGTATTACTGTCATACTGACAATCGTAGAAGGAAAAGTAAGTACCTACTCAATCGTAAAAAAGTTAATGTCTAATAGTGGTAATTTAAACTATTAAGTAGATATTTATTTAAATATTGACGAAAAATTCTAAAAGTTAACTGATTGAAATTCCGCCCCTGGAAAACAATACAAGTCTATTTTCTAAGTTTAAAAATATAAATTTTGACTAGTTTTTTCAGTCCACAAAAATAATTGAAAGTCTGACTGACGCTCTCGCTAGACCTAAGCTAACCTTGGAAAAAAATTGAGTAGGTATATGTCATGGGAGTTTTTGTTCTGAATGCAAAATTCAAACCAATATGATAAAGAAATTATTCAAATTATTTTCATAGATTTTTTGCCGTCTACAGATATATCTGTGGTACTCTAGTATATTAACTATTAAGGTCTATAGTGAAACGACAGAATAGATATAATGAAACACTGAAACGTGTTTAGTGTTGATCGCGCAAGTCTTCCCAACGGCCAACGATTCGTTGATTGCTGAATACAAAACTGATTACTGATTATTAGTCGTTTGTCAAGTGTCAGCAATTCAGCATTCAACAGTTGAAACTTGGAGTTTTTAAGTTATAACATTCTAATAAGTTAATAATTAATTATCGGTTAGACCATCCGTGAAATTGTTATTATTTCTATATCATCCATTATTCTGACTGAATTGAGTGTTAAGTGCATATATTTTTGGGAGGGAAACCAATCGTGTTTCGACATTTAACTTAGCATTACTTTAAAATAAATTATGCCACCCAAACGAACAGCGATCGGTAGATACACACGGCAAGCACGGAGGAAGAAGGCATTAAGAGCAAAACTAGCTTTAGAAACGGACGAGCAAAGGGAAGCAAGACTGGAAGCCGTTCGGGTGCGTGTTACTCGAGCAAACGCGTCTGTAACAGACGAGGAACGGAGAGCAACACCGGAAACTGATCAAGTACGCACTACTCAAGCATGTTCGTCTGGAACTGATGATCATCAGGAAACAACACTGGATACCGTTCGCGAATACACTGCTCAAGCCCGTTTGTCTAATACTGACTACTGAGTAGTGAAGAGACACGGTCCGGAGGGAAGCAAACTCAAAACAAACGCGACACGCTGATTTAATGCTCGTATGTCTGTTGTAGCCAGTGGCGCAACTAGGGGGGTGCAAAAAGGTCTTTAGCACCCCCAAGTTAAAATTTAGCACCCCCTGTTTTTGATATCTAACTTTTATTATTTTATTGAAATACCATGAATGTTATGTTTTTAAATATTATGATAAATTTCCTGAAAAAATATTTAATTATTTGGTCGTAAGTCTTATAATATAATTCATTCTAATTCATTCCATACACGGATATTCCCATAATAATAAAGCAAATAATAAAACTGGTTAAGATCAAGTATGCTTCAGCAAAGGTTTACCAATTTATCTTTGCTGAATATTGAAAAAGATTTATTAAATCAGCTTAACACTGAAACTATTTTAAATAAATATTGTATGAAACCTAGAAAAATTATGCTAATTTAAAATGTATTATAAATATATAAGTTATTTACTAACAAAATTATGAAATTATAATGTATCCTTATGTTACTGAAATTTTAGCAAAAAAAGTATTATAAATTTATTTTCTTTTATTTATGTGAAGTGTGTTAATATATGTTTTAAAATGTTGAATTATCGAGCATTGCAGGCTCATGTGTAGGGGGTGTGGGGGGCAAAGCCCCCCACGGCTCTGTGGTTCATTCACATATTTAGCACCCCCTGTTTTAGAGGTCTAGTTGCGCCTATGGTTGTAGCTATTATAGAGTCAAAACCTTCTCGGCCGATATTAGAGATAATTTCAGATATTGTTCTCACGAGACATCAGGAAACTTTTGTTAATATACCAAGTGCTAAATTATCCAATTCACCACAAATGGATTGCCCAACTCATTGAAATTAGTTCAAAATAGTGATGGTAAGAAATAGCAATAGCATTGTTAATAGTATTGCCATATACTAAAGGGCTTTGCCCCGACCATCCATCTTCAACAGTAGGTAGTTAATATATAATAATATACCAATACTATAGTAACATTTACCACCCCTTATAGTCGGGTCGATAGCCATGGACGGTAAGAAGGGCATAAGCCCTATTTGACCTAATTGTACCCCACCCTGGCGCCCTCACACAAATATTGAATGCGTGTATGCAGTAGTACGTTGTAGTAAATAAAATATGAATTTTATTTCCCCCCCCCACCCACCCTAAAGTATGGTTTACCCCATTTTAAGATCTGATCTGGTTTCGGGTCTGATTATAATAAATATTATTTTACTTGTCATAAATTGATATAAAAATAAATGACAACATAAAAGTATATTTAAAAAATTAAAACATTCCTTTCCTTGTTTTAATGAAAACAATTAAAAAGGGTGGTCTCAAAACTTAAGAAAATTGAAGAGGAGCTCCATGCCCCCTCAATTTGAGCTCTGGCCACTAATCTAATTTTTACTTAAACACTAGGTACCTTTCATTTTTCTGGTAAATTATTTAATACTTAAAGAGATTTAGTCTAGTTATTGCTAAAATTACTGTGCAATGAAGTTCAGTGAATATTAGAATAAACATATTAATAGATAGTTAATATTTCATAGAAAAAAAAATATTGTTTTAAATGGAAAAATATATTTTAATTCTTACTCATACCGTTTTATGGTAATTGTGATTATTATGTCATCATGTACGACTTAATTTTAATATTATGTACTCATTTTTTGTTTGACACTGGAAGTTGGAAATTAGTAATCTCATTAAAATAAAGGAAACTAGATTATTTGGTATTTATTTTTTTTAATCAACCTTTCATTTTAACAAAAAAAACAATGTAGCAATTCTAGCAATGGTTTGCGCGGACTTTATTTTAACTACTAATATAACTATGACAGCTAAACAATTATAATATACAAGATAGAATGAAAACAAATATATTGAGTAATCAAGCCACTTCCTAAATAAATGTAATTTTAATGGCAGATTCAGTTAATACATTTGTAATATATAATCAACTGTGGATTGTTGTGGAATGTTAACAAGAAGTACTTTTGAACTATTGAATATTTTCATTAAAATAAATTTATACATCAAATTCACCAACAACTATTTGGTATCGCACTATTGACACTTACAGTGATCAGGGCCTAACTTAAGGGTCTCAGGGCCTCAAGGCAGCTTTTAAAGAAAGGCCCTTTTAAATATATATTAATAAAAACTGTTTTTAATTTGTATATTTTCAACATACTAATAGATAAAACAAATATTATAACAATATTGCTCGCACCGAAATAAAAAATTTTAGTGTTTACGGTTATACATTTATTTAAGGGTTTCGGCTATAAATATAATCGAATAGAAAGAAACAATCACTGATAAACACCACGAAATGTATTTATTTATGTTTATACACGGTTCCATATTACTAAAACACAATATAATAATATTAATTTCTAAATTACTTCCTCTCAATAATATTCTATATTATACATGAACTATTTTCCGTGTTAATCAATTTATGTATGTGATACCTTTTTTTTGTGTGTGTTTCCCTGAGGGCCTCAGGAAGACAAGGGCCCCTAGGCGGCTGCCTAGTTGGCCTAGGCGGAAGTTCGGCCCTGACAGTGATTTAATTTTATTCCAATGTATGGTACATAAATTATTAATAAATTACCAAAAAGTGTCTCAATTATCTACATATATATTACCTGTATAGTATACAAATATATACACATTTAAAACGTGAGACAATTTCTTTGAACAGCTATATCTGAAGTTCACAATGGATTTGAATGGTTTGATTTTTAAACACAAGTGTTATGATAGAAGATGAGCCTTTTAATACGAAATATTCATAATGTATTAATGGTACCACTATTATACAGTCTTATACTCTTTTTATTCAATATTAATATATATTAGAATGTCGTGCACTGTTCACCATAGATTCCACTTTGTTGGCTGTATCTCTAATAGCTTCTGGTAATTCAGGTAGGTCTAGAGTGGTAGTCAAGTGTGCAGATAACCGTTTATACATAGAATCTTTTTTAGATTTCCCACTAAAATATCAAAATAAATAAATACAATTATAAAACAGAATATTACGAAAGGAAAGGAAACATCAACAATAAGCTCAAGGTTGAATATCGACATCCAACTAGAAATGTCTTACCTGATATATCTACAGTAAGCACACGCTATATAAACAATCATACTGGTACGTTATTATTAGGCTTGGATGGTGCATCGTCTATTTGTGAAGTTTTCAATCTACATAATATTATAATATGCACATAAAAAAAACATATGCCTAGATGTCTCAACAAAAATCTTATAAAACAAAATCAAATCATACAATAATCTTAGTATAAGCATGCATTGAATGTTGTATTTGTAAGTACCTATAACTATAGGTACACACTATACACTTTGAAGAAGTATCTAGTATCTACTTGACAATCTAAAATGTAACTCACCGCCTAGTATGCTCATACTTGATTTGTTGACTTAGGAATAAAGCATTTTTAAGTTGTTCTTGAATACTATTCAATGGTTCTTCACAATTCTTAATCGAATTTATAGCTCTAATTTACAACATGAATCCATAATATGAGTCATAAAAATATAATTATTAATTACCTAATCTAAAAGTGGAAAAAATGTCTTATTACCCTATTGCATATTCCACATCATAATAGTGGCCTTGTAAATCCTTATGAAGTTTTTGAACTTGTACTCGTTTTTCTATCATGGGCGGTACAGATTTCCGTACATGTTCTTGAAGCCGATAAAACGCCAGGGATGGTTCATTTGCAACAAAATGAAGATTTTCTGACAAAATTCCAGTGGCTTATTTTAAAATGAAACAAACATAAAATAATGTAAATAATTAAATTTGAATACTGCACACATAATAATATACACATACCACGTCTTGACTTAGCTTGTAAATCTGGGTCATGCATTTCTGCCATCATCAGTTAGTTTTAAATTCTAAATTTTATAATTATTTATTGTTAGGTGTACGGTAGTGCACTAGTATTTTAGCATAGAACAATATAATCTTTCGATACCAAAATTATGATTTCGTAAAAACCACAGATATATAAAATCACGGGCCAACTATAATAATGCCTCAATTGTCTGTAGATTATTATTTATTATATTTTACTAATTCGGATCATAGCTTATCTTAAGCCATGTTTTAGACTATAAAGTAAATAGTAAAATATATTATTAGTAATAGACAAACTTACAAAAAAATAGAACAATAATAATAATTATTACTCTATGCACCAAACCCAGATGAAATTTTAAATTTCATTGATAACCGCAATCAAAAGCTTGATAAAACAAAATTTAATTCTGTGATAAAACACCGTTGATAATATTGTCTCTACTTTCCGTGAACAACCACTGGTACAAGTGGTACAACAACATTACAACAATCATGGTCTTAGATAAACTTTTTATAATATCTTATATCACAGATTTGAGATTATTACAAAGTGTGTAAACCTTAGATCATATTAATATGATGATGTATGTGTACATGATCTAAGGTGTAAACACTAAACAGACAATATTATAATCAAAATTAAAAATTATAATTTATAGTAACTACTTAATTGACTTTAGTACTATAGGACTGACTACTTATTAGTTTTTACTTATTGACATTTGCCTACTGAAATCGTTCAAGATGACTGAAGATATTCGTGATATTATGGACATAGAAAGGGGACCCGCTCCTCAGGTATCTAAAGAAGAAATACTTGGTACACAGACCAAGAAGAAAATCTCACTACCATCGGGTAATCGTCAGACTCGTAGACCGGAAGGAATGGCTCGTGAGGTGTTTGCCTTACTGTATAATGATAAGAAGGATGTGCCGCCTGTTATTGAAACCGAAACTGGTAATAAGTTTATCTGATTGATTTTTCTACAGATTATTAATTGTCTACATTCAATTGTTAGGTCCCGCTTATAAGCTCCAAAAGGCTAGATTGGGTATGCGACGTGTTCGTCCTTGGGTATGGGCTCCTTTTACCAACCCAGCTCGGACAGATAATGTTTCTTTTTGTCATTGGCGGAGAGTTGCCGATGAGGGTAAAGAATACCCATTTGCAAAGTTTAATAAGGTATTATTTATAAAGATTGAATTATTGTTCATTTACACAATGTATGATTATATTATTATTGTTAAATAGAAAATAGACATACCCAAGTATACGGATATTGAATATAAAGAACATTTAGTATCGGAAACGTGGACTCGAGAAGAGACTGATCGTCTTTTTGACATGTGTGAATGGTTTGATTTACGTTTCATAATCATTCAGGCTAGATGGAACCTAGGAGAATATGAGAGCGCCGTTAAACGATCTACTGAGGATCTTAAAGATAGATATTATTCAGTGTGTAACACACTAACAAAGGTTGTGGACACAAAAAAAAAAGTTTTAAATCATGTTTACCAATAATTTGTTTTTATTATTTTAGATTAGAGGTGGAAGTGTCAATGAATCAAAAATGTTTGATGCTGAACATGAAACTCGTAGAAAACAACAACTTGAAAGGCTTTACAGTAGAACTCCTAAACAAGTATTTATAAATATACAATTGTACAGTTTCTACAGTTTTGTGCATATATATAATGTTTAGATTGAAGAAGAACAAATGTTAATACAAGAAATGCGTAAGATTGAAGCACGGAAACGTGATAGAGACCGTAAAACACAAGACCTACAAAAATTAATAAGTGCTGTTGATAAACAAAATGATAGTCGGAAAAGTTTAAAAATTGACAAAAAAACCACTCATCACCGTAAACGTGTTACTGTTCCAGTCAGGCCAACCCGAGTTGATCCAAATGTAATGTTTGATAGTTAATTTATTTGTTAACTTATAATTTTTAATTGAATGTTATTTTTTAGAACTTTGAAGCTACTACCATTAAATTTCCGGATATTAAAAATAGTGGAGTTTCTACTCGTTCACAAAGGATGAAAATACCAGCTAATGTTAGTCAAAAGAAAGTCAAAAATGTTGAACAGGCCTTAGAATCACTAAAAATTAGTATGTATTACAATATATTTAAAATCATATTTATTATAACTAACTTTTTTTTTTAGAATTAAATCCCATTCCAACTGAAGACATATGCCAAAATTACAATGATCTCCGTAATGAAATTGTATTGTTGAATGAATTAAAGGCGGCTTGTAGCTCCAGTGATTTTGAACTGCAAACATTAAAACATCAGTATGAAACGTTAAATCCTGATGGGGTATGTAATTGTTTATCAGTAATTAAAACATACTAATCATTTATTTAATATCTGTACTATTTGATAGGTTTTAAAAATTGATCCCCACCTTATGGAAGAAATGGCTAGTTTAAGTGTTGATGATGAAGAGAATGAAGAAGTACCAGAAGTAAAAATAAAAATAGAAATTAACGACCAAGAAATGGAAGATGTTACAGATCCCAATCTTTTGCCTAAAAATGTTTTGGATATAATATAATTTAAAATGCTGTGATGTTTATAAATCAATTTGATTTCATTATAATTATACTTTGTATTACATTTTCCTTGTAGATAATGCTGTTAAATTGTATTTATATTTTTTAAACAATATAAACTATGTCATTTGTATATAATATAACTATTGCAAATCGTTTTGGTAAATATTATTTAGGTTATTCTTACTGATTGCGATATACATTATACTTAATACATATCATAAATGCATAACTCTTAGACGTATAGTAAATTCAGGCACATAACTGAATCTCTATTTCAAGTCAGACAAATAATACAAATGAGCATTTTGTATTATTTTAAAAATTTAACTTTATTGTCTATTAATTTTTTATTGCTATTTTACATTAAAAAAAACTATGTATTACTTATTAATATGTAAAATACGTAGGTACATGAAATATTTTTAACTTTGTGTCTATAGGTACTAGTATAAAAAATGAATAAAAAGGTTATATTACAAATACAAATTTTTGTTAATTTTTAGTCATTACTTGTTGCATGTTATTATTTAGTGGCATTTCTGATTCCGGAACATTTAACATTTTTTTTTTTAACAAAAACACTGACCAAGAAATATAGATAAGGTTCTCATACAACTAATTAAAAATTAACAAGTTATATTAATGAAAAAAGATGGTGAGAGGACGTGGGCGCCTAACCTAACCATTCTCGTTCTAAAAAAGCAAAATAAAAAAAATAATGGGCTGGAAACTATAGACTGCAGTCTATAATCTCCAGGACAATTAACCTGAAATAGTTTATTGGATAACAAATGATTAATCACTTATCAGAATAGATGTCTCCTTGAAGTATCTGGCTTAACTTTAAAAAGTGTATATAAAAATGGCAACTTATATGTCAATGAAAATAAATGAAAAAAATATGATCAGAGGTCCATATTGCTTCAATGCATTAAAAAATGTATGTAAATTAATGAAATTTATTAGGAATACAAATAATTGAGTAGGAAGAAGGCCATGGGCTCTTATGTGTAAAAACATTTTATGTAGGAAATAAAGAAATTTTTAATTTAAAATTCTATTGCGTAATAAGTTGAGACTAGTCAATTTATAATCACAAACCAAAAAGTTTAAATAGATACAAATAAAAACATAATTTTTCATTATTTTCAGTTATATATTTATAAATAATGTTTTGAAGCACTGGCTAGAACTCAAATTACACTGCATATAGCATATCGTTCAAATAATTGTTATGACACAAAATAAATGTACTATGCGGCATGTTTGTTTTAAATTATCATAGTAAACCAATATTTAGTTTCCATCTATAGTATTTTTTTAAATAATTTTAATTTACCATTATTTATATTGGTGAAAAATTAAATATTTCAATATAGAAAATCCATGTCAATCTAATAAATATATTATACTATACATATAAAAATGATTCTGTATATTATAAAATACAATTTTTTATTTGAATACATGTGTCAAGTAACATAGAACATTATATGATTATAGTATTATTATTAATCTTTACTATAAAATAAAAACATCAAAAATCAATGTAAATGTCCATGTCATACAAATACATTTTAATTAAATTTTTACTTTTAATGCATACAACTAAACGACTAAAAATATAATAATAAAACATTATTAAAAGGAAAACACAAATTGATGATCTAATACTATAGGATAGAGTAAGGAGGTACTTAAACCAAAGTAAAAAATGATTAACAATATTGTGATTAAGAAAAATAGTTTAATAAAATAAACAAAAACAATTATTATTTAACTTATAATTAACTAAGAGTAGTTTAATAAAAGTATTAGCTTTTAAAATAAGAAAGCTAATTATTTTTTAACTTGAAATTCATAGTATACAAAATTATTAAAAAATAGTTTATTTTAAAATTAAGTATAAAAAAACTTAATTAGTTTGATTACCAATTCAACGGGTGTTCTTTTTAAAAGTCTGCTTTATAACTAACAACAGTGTCCATTCTATGCAATGAAGTTGAAAATGATCGTAACTGTAACTCTTGAGAATTAGCAATATAACTAGGAGCAGTTTCAGACCATTCTTGTGGTACATCTACATCAGGTTTAGTGTATATTTGCAAATCGAAAGCACATGGACAGTCAAGTAAAGGTAAAAAACTAACAGTAGAACAAATTTGCCTCAGTACATCTCTAATTTCTTTTTGGATTGTTGTTAGCTCTTTATTCCCAACTGAGTCTGGATTTGAATCACCAGATCCTTCATACTGCAATTTAAAATCCCAGCGTTCCATTACTTCTTTGGTGTTAACATTGGATATTACCATTGACATCTTTTGAATTTTTTGTTCTAACAGCCAATCTAAAAAATATGTATAAATAAATTGTTATCTAAAAAATACAAGTTCAGAATAAAAAAAATATTGAATGTTTATCTTTTTAATGTATGTTGTATTATTTATTTTTTAAAAAGCTAACTATATTTTATTAAATACAATTGTACCATGGTATAGCTTGTAAATATGTTTTTAGTCTACAATTTGCATATCTATACAACTTTTAACTACTGAAAACTGATTTATTAAAATCCAAGATAAAAATCTCAAGAAATAGTATAGATACAATCTAAAATTACTAATTAAGTATAAAATGATTAATTAGTTTGTTCATATAAAAAATATATTTATAGCTGTTGGTATAAGGAACTAATAATTTCCTATAAAAGGTACCTCTTAATAAGCCTAACCAAATTATCTGAAATGGAAGGGTTAAAAAAATCCAATATTACTCAAATTATCACTTAAAAGTTTATTCATTAATCCAATTTTAAATCAGAGACATTTTTAGGATGTATACTGTTATTATTAAAATACCAAAATATGGTTTGTTTGTTAAATTTATTCCTAAATTTATAAATATTGAACAATTATTTCATCTTTTAAGAAGTCTCAGCTATTGTCTCTTTCTTAATAATGCATAACATAGTAAATTGATTCTCAGAAGAATAAGTTTTACTCAGGTGTTTATAATATAATAGTGAATTGATCTATGACCAAATGTAAAGGTAAAAATATTATCTAGGACCCCACCACAAAATTTTAAATTTTAAAATGATCATAACTTTCTTTTGAATAAAAAAAATTATATGTGAATAATATTTTTACTTTTAAAATAGACCGTAGGTAGGAAATTTCATCTAATAATAAAAAAAAAAAACAGAGTAAAGATTATTTTGAATGTACAGATTAGTATATTTTGTGTTACTAAAATGAATTATTTTTGTAAAAATATTATCAACCACAAACTATAATAAGTTATAATTAAATGTATACCTTTCATTTGATTAAGGACGGGTTGTAGGAACTGTTGAATTTTACTATCGGTTGACACAAGAATCGACAGACCAAAATGTTCTTCTGTTTTGAACGATTCTGGGGGGTATATTCCCCTTTGAAAAAGAATACTGTTAATTCCAAAATCTAGAATGAATGATTAATGTCATTATAACTACATTATATGGCAAGTAAAAAATCATAATATGTATTATTTTAGTATGTGACCTAGGTATTCATTTAGCACTTCTAGTCAAATTAAAAACCAAAAATTGTATGAAATATTTAAAAAATGTCATAATTATTTTTTTATAAAAAATGTACCTATCTTGCCTGTAAACATGATGTTACTCGGACATTTGTTGTTTCTCTCTTACAGGTGTGCAGCATGGCAAATTTAAGCTCAGCAGATCATGTTTAGCTCTGTTAGTTAAAGAAATAGAGTAAATTGACCTCTTTAAAATTTAAAGATTATTCTCTAGGTCATCTCATGTGCTAATTGTTATATTTTAATTTTAAATTGAGTTAAAAGTATTTTAAAATTGTTAATTGTCTGTACATCTTAAAATACTCATAACTCTCTTTTAAATTAAAATATAATAAATAGCATACGAGATGCCCTAGGGAATAACCTTACCTTTAAATTTTATAACAGATCAATTCACTCTATTTCTTAACTATTAGAGCTAAACATGATATGCTGAGCGTAAAATTTGCTATGTTACACACTTGTAGGAAAGAAACAACAAAATATGTCGGTGTAACATCCTCATAACAGATCGGTACCAGTACGTTTTTCGAAACATAATATAAATTATTGTCTTCGTAGGTCACATACTAAACTCGATTTTAGCTCGGCAGGTCACATATTCAATGAGTACCTAATGTCCTAATAACAATAATTATTATTATTATTATTAGGCTATTTATGCTCACTTAAATAGTCCATAACCAATTTCGCAGACCCTTTGAGAGTGATGGCGTTTTGGCTCTGTTGTTTGGTAGCCATTGTGTTATGTTTGTATAGTATAGATTATTACAACAACAAATTACGAATAGTACATTCAGTCTCGATGGAAGAAAAGCTTAAAAGTGAAGTTGTGAAAGTGAATTTAGAAACACACAATATTTACAATTCAAAATAGCAAATAGGTAATCATAATATATTGAAAATCATAAATAACGGAAAATCCTGAAACCGCAGAACTCGATTTGTGTTTTGTATTGTGATCGTTTTCTAGGTTAAGATTGATAACGATTTTTTGGCGGCAAAACCATTCATATCAGTTTTAATCTCTTTTCTATGAACGAACCACGATGTAGACTGTAGAGAAATATAAGAAAATATCTTTCTGGGGATATCACCATTACCACGACAAGACGTGATTAGTACGAATTCGATAATACACGTAAATAGATTTCCCAATCAGGTTTTTACTAATCTTACAATTATATCTTATATTATTTAAGATATGTTTGTACAAAGAAAAACTACGTTCTGAGATGTAGAATGTACTTAACTCAGACAAGTCAGACAGATATTTATACAACACAATATTTGATCAGATTTGATTTATCTTGTGTGCAAACAATGGTGCAATATCAATTAAAGCCGGTATTAAGTTACCTATAATTATGATAACTTATAAGCAGGGCTGGAGACTTGCAGCATTTGCTAATTATTTTTGGCTCTAGCAGATAATGTCACGGAAACTCATGTCAATATGTCACAATGATCTCAAATATTAGGTAAATTTGAATTGTTGTTTTTTTATTGAACTTGTATTATTTTAAAAATTAGGGACATATCACATATTATTATGTAGCTAGGGATATATCTTAATATGTTGTGGTATTTATCAAATGATTATATTAGTGTCATCTTAGATAGTAAAATATTATAGTTAATTATCATTAAGTAATGAAGTCTGTGTCAGACCATATGAGGTAAAAATGTATAATCTTGTTAAATGTTATTTAAATAAATGTATTCTTAAATAAACTAGCGAGTGTTGATTTGAATGAGAACACACGAATAAAATTGTTTTATTGAAATAGTATTTGTATTAGACATTTGCACAATTTAAAAATTAAAGAAAGATTTTTAGGTTTTGTCGAATTGGACGAATTAAATGCTCAAGCACTGTGTGATGGCATAATATTTTTTTAAAATAATGTTGGTTTAGATATTTCAAATTGTGTAAGTAAATCATATGATGGTGCGTCAAGTGTAAGTTATGGATGTACAAAAAAGTGGGTAAGTGGGTGACACTCTGCAGTTTATTAGGTATTTAGAGAATCACTGTAATACCTAGATGTGTTAAATTTGAATTCGTGATATAAAATCATTGTAGGTAAACGAAAAACGATTCTGAGCGAAGACAGCCTGTAATATTATGATGGCCTATAATATTACTATTTACGTACATAAATATATTTGTCATTTGATGGTATTGTGATTAAAGTAGGTAGGTAATTTATTTTACTATACCTATACAATGTAAATATGTAATAACACTAATAACTAATAATCATCAGAACAAATATAGTAAACATAATTCGTTTTTGTCCAAAAAATTACATTTAAAAACATCATTGTGTGTATGAAAATATGAAATACAATAATATATCTAATCTGAAAGTCTTAAGTACCCACGAATAATATTTTTACATTACTACAAAATAACTAAAATCGTTATTCATAGTTTAGATACGTAATTTAGTCCAAATTTTAACTTAAACAAATTATAAAAAAAAACTGTGTTTGTGTATTTTTAAATTTATTCTACAGAATTAAGTACTTACGTGCAACTTTATTTTAAAGTTTTATCGAATCCAAAGGTTTGTCGGTTTTAAATGTGCGTGGTATAAATATATGCTCCACCCACATCGCGACACCTTCGGCCTCGTGATCTCGGCTTTTACCACGACATTTCAAGTTCAAATAAATTAAAAACAAGATAAGTTGGGTCTTTTGATTTTGTTAAGTAATTATTTCTATCTTACATTCTATTTATTTTTTGTAATAACTAAATAACTACTCACTTTATGAGATAACTAATTTTTTGTAATATATTCGACAACGGGGCACCCAATTCCTTTACTAATCCAATAAACAATAAAGAGTACGGTGTTGTGTTATAAAAAAAAGACGTATTCATTCCTCCCATATAAAAAATGATATGTATATATTAAAAATTAAAAAATTATATTAATATAGAGATAAGAGACATATTCTACCACTAGAATATCTGTCTGTAAAGATGGTAGACGGAAAAAAAGATAAAAAATGAAAACCAAAATGTTATATTTTACTATATTACGTCATATTTCATTAGATATAAGTTCTAACTTTCTAATTAAACATTAATTAGATAAATAATCTAATTTACCTGGTATCCTTTGACTCGTACTTGCATCAATAAATAATAGGAAATAACAGGAAAAAGTCAAGATAATTGTATGATATTATATCACAAATTAAAATATATAAATATGTATATTATTTATTGAATTTCGCTTGGTTTATAATATATGTCATAATAAGTTATAAGTTTAAAATAACTGTAAGATCGATAATTTGATAAGGCGATTAAAGTAAAAATAATAATAAAGAATAAGAGTTATCGATATCTTATGCCTTATGATATAACAGATGGTATTTAAAAAGTTTTCAATATTCCGTATACCATTATCACAATCTTCCCTTATTTGTTTTAGTTGAATTTCTATTTTACTGTACACCATTTTTTGTCGTTTCTATTGTGATACTCGTAATTGGATTTGGGCTAGCTTCGTTAGCAAAGTGATGCACGTGAGCCTGTATTATCTTAACAGTCTAAATAAGTCAAAATGTATAATCAGAGCCGGCACAGGTCCTCGCGCATTGAAAGGGCCCCGCGGACCGCGGTCTGTTAGCTGTTGCATAAATAAATTATCGGATATTAATTTAATATCCCATAATAATTTATTCAGATATTAAAAAAATAAATACAAATAGGTAATGTTTGTATAAATATAATAACAGCTAAAACGTTTTGATACATTTTGTCGTGTGCGAACATTTAATTATTTCTCTCGGATAGGAACTTATACAGTTTTATATAATATTAAATGTTTTTAATATGTAACATTAATGTATTTTTCATTGTAATTTTAACATATTTTTAACGTGATTTATCAGGTCTTTAATTTTAATGCACCGTGTAATTTTAATTACACGCAAATGTGTGTAATTGTATGCTTGCGGGTATAAGCCACGAATCACGATCTTATGAGGACCTCACACCCGCGTGTGTTGTCTCCGTCTTACACACGTACGAGTGTACCACATAGACAAAATGCGTTTACGAAGTCCGAGTAGAACTATAAATTCTATTTTGGTTATAAAGTAAAAATACCTATTATTATAAAATTGAATTGTGACAATATTTCTCAGGGCCAAAAGATGCGAATTTTCCATTATTCCCAATATAACGTCCATTATCATTATACGTTTGGAAATAGAGAAAATGTCAACATTTAGAAATTACCTTAATTTTTTTAAAAAAAAAACACAGTTAATTAATTTTTAAAAGTATTTTTTTTAACAATCCCCATTCTTATTGATAGCTATGCATGAATTATTTTATTCTATAATTATTTCAGTAGTGTTTAAGTTCTTAAAACGTATTTAAGTGTATTAATAAGAATATTAATATAATCCTTTTTTTATTTCGACACATCAATTATCACACTGAACTTAGCTTGAACGATATGGGTCCATATTTTTTTTTATCTTTGGTTTTCTTTTCATGGTTTTGTTCCGTGATTCTAATAGTATTAATTAATTAATTTATATTACATATAATACATTTTATTAGTTAGTTTTAATTCAATTTAATGTGAGTCACATATTATTTAAATTCCATAATCATTAAATAACATAAAAATACATAATATGAAATTGTATCTATAAACTTTTACATTCAATTTATAATAAATAATCAATAACAGTCAAAAACAGTCAAAAACTCAAAAACAACTATTTTTTAAAGTAATATGATATAGTTTGTACAAAATCAAACTTATCCTTTTCTCCTTCGTATTTCTATAATTTATTAATTTTGAATATAATACTTTCTAATTAAAATGTATTTCATACTTTCACGGCCTTCTATGTTCTACGGTAGTACGGTGTACCTATGTTAAAATTTTTTAATTGTAATGTAAATATTTGTTTGTACTTCAAATTCAAATATTGAGGATGTTTGGATGTTTAGGTGTGGCATATTCAAAAATAAAATATTTTAAACGTGAATGAAAAGATTCGACGACATTTGCTGTTCGTATTATCGCTTATGAACGCTTATGTGGACAATGTGCTATATAATATAACTAAAATAATGACATGCGGAGGAAACCTCGCATCTTCACAAATAAAATCGTCCAAATCTGTTGTTAATTTATCGTTTTTTTACATATAATTCAAAAATTCATTCACAAAGGTCACTAACTTCGTCTGGACTTAAAAATGACCTACACTGCAATGGATCTTTTAAAAACATATTTTTTTAGTTCGGTTAAGTTACACACCCCATGGCCCATGGTACAAACAAATAGAAGAAGTTGGTTCTATATGTATATAATTTATTATTATATTTTAATTTTTTGTAAATTTTTAGTGGCAAAAGTTGTAGTTTTGATAAGTTTTTTTTAAGTTTTTTAGTTTTAGTTCATTGTGATTTGGGTCATTCCCGGTCACCCATAAGTATATTTATTACTGGATATTTATATGTTATAGATACTGGGAATTTTTTTTGGGTGGATTCACCCCAATTTTTTGTACTATGTGTGACTGTGCACATATTGGCCCATTTCAGTGTTTGCTTTGAAAGTAATGTATTTTAAATGTGTATTATATATTATATTTTAAATTGTAATGAGAAACGTATGCCCACTGAAATACCATCGGAAACAATTATATAGTAAATATTATGGCTCCATAATATAAACATATATGTGCATCATATAGATTATAGGCTATAGAGTAGGTACAGACTATAGTGGCTACACTACTATAGGTACAGTGTTTTTAAAAAAAGTCACTGTTACGAAAATCATTCTCTGATATCCGGGGTTATCTCAAAAAAAACATTTCTGAATTTTTTCCATCTCGTGGTTTTTAAATTTTTATTCTTAAATACAAAAACTTTTTTGTTTTTGAATTGTTTTCGTATTGATTCTGCGACATATTATGTTCGCGATGATACCAGCCTAATATAATTACAAATAATAATATTCCTCGTAATATTCAGTGCCCGTGGGCTTGTGGTTCGCAAAGTCTTCATATTATATACTATTATGTTTGGGGCGTTTGGCTTTATGTGCTTATTATTTATCCAGCCAACTATATCTACTATTCTACTTATATATATCCATATATATATCTTTACTTATTGCAGTGCCAGCTATATATAGATGTACCTAATGCAATAATACGTCGAACTGTGCTGTGTGTGTTCTGTATACTCTGTACATACTGATGGATGGTGGTATAGTAGCCGTCGTACCTATACAGTTTTAAGTCGTGTTTTCATATGTGGCAACGTTTATGGTTTTATGGTCGCGTGTACATAGTATGATACATGCGTACCCGCAACGCATTTATGAATCATTTCTTATTTTCGTGTACACAGAGGACAGAGATGCACCTGCCGACAAAAGGAACTGACGTCTTGTGTAATTACTTTATACTACGTTTTAGTCCGTGGTCGGGGGACGTTTGTATACATATAATAATAGTATAATAATATAACAGATACAATAACACATAATCCCGTACATAAAGGATAAACGATTGGACCACACGTGGGGTATGTGTGCGCACACGTACTCACGCATGTGCATGTATAAGCACCTTACTAAAAGGTATAGGATATACGCCGGGCTGCGAAGACTGTTGTATCCTGCAGGAGTCATCCTGGCAGTTATTGTGGTTATTGTTCGTAGACAGAGGTAGGGGTGAATATATCCTGCAACGCAAGTTCCTTAGAACACGGGCTTTGCTGATATTTAATGGGGCGGCCCGGCGGGGAACAAAGGAGTGTGCGTGTATGATGTGCATATTATCATGACGTACATACATAATGTTCCTATGTAGATAGGATTTATTTCCAAGGCGAGTTGTGAAAGACTATTATTAATTGTTCATCTTGAGCCTTTTCAGTTGTGTTTACAAAATAATTGATAAAATACTCACATTTCAGTCAGAAAGGTACTAAACTTACTTAGGTACTCATTACCAGAAAATACCCAAATCGAATCCAGGAAAAAAAGACCAAGAAAAAAAAGAACAATTTGTAAAAATTTAAAATACATTAATTATTGATTATGAAAATTAAAAAAAATACGTATATTTGCAATTAGTATGTAACGTGATCACTTACTACACACACATTTACACGGGCCACGGCCAGAATGTACCTCAAAATTGCTTGTATTGAACTCAATAAAAACAGTCGGTATTCAATCTTCTTAAGAAAAATGTTTATTTAATTAAATATTTAAAATATTGAGATAAAAAAAATGTATTTCTTTAGAAAATCTTGTTGTTTTTATTTTATAAAATGATGCGAAAAATAAAATTTATAATATCTTTCATTCTTCATCTTTACATAGGTAACATTTTTTGTAATAGGTAGTTATTTGTAATATTTTTTTTGAAAAATATATTTTAAATGTTTAAACATGTGCATAATAAGTGATCACTATTACACATTAATAAAAAATGTATGTGTTATTTTAATTTTCATAACTAATCAATTAGTATCAAATTTTAAGTTTTTTTTTTTAAATTGTTCTTTTTTTCCTTGGTATTTTTTGCCTATTACCCTCAAATCAATCTATACAAGAAAATAATATGTAAAGAGCAATATTATGGTATTAGGTGGGAAAGTATCTTTTTTTAAATTATATTTTTTTGGTTCTTGCTGTAATGATTAAATAGTGTTATATAATTTGAAATAATGAAATCAATAACTATACAATACTCAGTCGAATAAGGTGTCCTATTAGAAAATAATATTTTCTATTACAACAATATATTTTTCTGCGCTAATACCTTAGAGTAGATTAGTGGTCGATTATTGAAGCAGGTAGACGCTTATTCTCCAATTTGAGTGGGTCATTACGAATATATTATAAGTTATATTTTATTGTATGTGTTTAGAAACAAAAATTAAATGTAAAAACAAACATAATAAAATTAAAATGCTGTAACATAGTAGGTAAATGATATTACAAGGTCCATTATTACCTACATAGAATGACATAACGAAATAATTGATTTTAGAATATATACATATTTTATATACTTACATAATATAATATAATATGAAAAATGTGTACCTATTCGTTTTAATAACATGACTTTCTAAGAATGCATTGCAATTTACAACTGATTCCCAGAAAGGATTGAAATAATAATTAATTTCGTTTTCACGGTATTGAAACAATTTCTTACGGTAGTATATACTCTATTAAGTATGTAGAATATTTTAAATTACCTTCAGATGTTTATTAAATCTCAATTATCAGTTATCGGGTTATGTGACATAAATTGATGGATTACAAACAACAAAGACTAAACAAAATGTGAAGATGTATACTGTATTAGGTAGTAGGTACTGTATTACTGCATACCATAATACCGCTGCGTTTATGTAAAAAACCAATAGACACAACTTTTTTAGTAGAATATACCTATTATGTATTATGTATCTATAAGTACATTCAAAGATCAGTATGTTATTACAATATCTATGGTTTTTAAATATTTTTATTCCGGCTATGTGCCTATGCAGTATGGTTTGGGTTAGGCCGGTTAGGGTTCTCGACGTCTAATTTCACAACAAATGTATATATAATTATGAAACATTTTATTTTGCTTAAAAATACATACTTCTTTAAAATATTGATATGTTAGTATGTTACTATACTTATAATTTCATTTTATATAACTATTCAAAAGACTGAATAATGAACGTAGAACTTTGTGACTTCCTTCAAATGAGTATTGAGTTGCTCATTTTAATTGTCGTTTTTTAAATTTTTAACCTAGTAATTGTACAATCTGTAAAGTATTATTTTTTTACAATAAGCAAAAGTGATTCATCAGAATATCAGATAAATTAGAAAAAAAAATAAAATTAAAGGTACAATAATCCAGGCAGATGGCTTGTGTGAAGTGACCATTCATTGATAGAAATTCATATTATTGTTGTTGTAAAACATAAACCATAATAAATAATAATTATTTTTGTAAATTTATTATATTACCTAAAACTTATAATGTGTTGGTAAATTATATTTATTATGATAAATCAAACAGAAAACATCTTATTTGTCCTTATTATTGTAGAACATACAAATCCGGTCTGTAGTCATCGGTGTATGGTTGCATTTTATAGTAAGTTATAGATATTATATTATATTATATTAAATTTAAAAAATAATCTTCTGAACGGAAAATTATATATTATATAGGTATAGATCGTCCTTGTAGCTGCATAAGATAATTAATAATAATAATCAAGTAATTTTATTAAAACGCAGATATTTATTAAAAGAAAAAAATATTTATAAAAATTATTACATTAGTGTTAATTTAAGTATCACGATTCTTAGTAATGTTTAAGGTGTAAATTGATCACAATATTCACAGGCCCAAAGGATATATTATATTCAAGCGGTACCCATTGATGAGGAATAATAATATATCTCTTTTCACACAACAATAAAACGCACGCGTTTACAACAAACAATTGGTATAATGTACTATAATGGGTGCAATAAAATAAAAGAAGTCTCCACCTACTGACCATCGAGTCATTTCTGTCGGCGGGACCGTTCGAAAATTTCTAAAATTTTACCTGCCCAGTCACTGGGCACTCAGGTGTGAACGAGACAACACTAATGTGAGAAACAAAAATGTGCGTTACCTGTTAATTGTGTTTTCGTGTATTGAATATTTCTTGGTCCAATTGTGTTTGTATCGAGAAAACAAAAAACAAAACAAAAAATGAATATGAATACGAGAGAAATGACTTCTTCCGAATTACAGAACTTGACTTGGGGCAAAAGGCATCCAGTGCGATCAAGATTGTTGGATGCTCAACTTTGGTCCGAATTCTTAGCGATCAACAATGAAATGATTGTCACAAAAACAGGAAGGTGAGTCCATTGTAATATTTATAAATTATTTGCAACAGTTCTAAATATTTACACATTATTATATTGTTTTTTTTTTTTTTATAAATTAACTTAAAAAAACACGTAATAATTAGCAGTCATAATTAATAGGTACATATAATACAATTGTGTTATTATAATTATTTATATCTACTGTACTTACCTACCTACCTATAGTCTTATCATTCGAACCGTTCTAAATTTGCCGGAAAATAAAATAATAATATTATGTAGGTACTAAATGTCTAAACTCTAAATTAACATTAATGCTATTGCAATGCTATAGGTATTTGGTATTTATTTACCTAAAAATAAATTGTGTATGTTAGACGATTCATAATATCTGTTTGTAAAAATTCACAACATTGTGATTTGATCATTTGGACGAATTCTGTAATATTTTAAAGCACGCATATACAAAAAAATATGACCTAAAAATAAACATCATAAATAGGTAACCAAACAATTTTATTTAAGATATGTCTATTTTATACTATATGATAAAAAAATTACTTTTTGATTTTATTATTTATTCGAAAATATTTCGTACCTATACCTACCTACTCGTACCTATTTCAACTAGAACCTACAAAACCTATCGATCAATAATGTATAAGGTTTCAGAGAAGCTTAGGAAAATAAAGGGAGACTTATACTCAAAACTCAACCAAGTCTCACAAGTCCATATCAAGTATAAGTAGGCACTAAGTAGGTAAATATTATTTTTTTCTACAATTTTTTAAATTGTACTCAAGAAATAAAATTGAATAGTCATCTGTTTTTACTTAATTATTGCTTAATAATGGATAGATATTCAATGTAAATAATAATTTTTATTTGTCGGGGATGGGCTATGCCCTACGTTTCTTTATTTATCTTTCCCAAAAAACTGGTCGACCTATTTGCAGCGAGGTTGAACCTAAACATAATCTAAGATCTAAAAAAATAACTTACAACTGTATATTAGGAGAATGTTTCCGGTGATCAAAACGCAAGTTACCGGATTATGTCCAGGAGACATGTACACTGTATTTTTGGAGTTTGTGCAAGTGGTTGGTCAACGATGGAAGTACATTAACAGTGAATGGTCTCCGACTACCACGTCGGACCCAGCCACAAAGAATCCATTTTATAAACACCCAGAATCACCAAATTTTGGCAAACATTGGATGGATCAACCAATTTCATTTGCTAAAATCAAACTCACCAACAGACCGGATAACCCGGGACAGGTATGTCGCATTGCCGCTACCTACATCTACACGTATTATAATTTATAGAGTTGAAAAGTGAAAAATCTTCTAGTTTGTAGGTACCTACTTAATTACTAGTTAAATATAGGTACCTATCACTAGTAAGACATAAATGTGTAATGTACTGATGTATCTATTTAATCGAAATTCTAAGAACATACGTCGGGTATCATCTCATCTCAGTCGTAAATATTTTTTTTTCATCTTTGGACATTTATCAATTTTAATTTTTTGCATAATACAAATAATTTAAAATTTCATTCCACATAAGCATAGGTTGTTTGTATCCAAGTTTGACGTCTTGTATAGCCTTGGCATGTTTACTGGGTTTTTTTCTGATCTTGACCGGGATCACAAAAATTTAAAATTATATTTGTTTAAGTGTTTTATAGTTAAAAATTAATAAATTTAAGTTAAATTATTACATAACATTATTAAATAAATATTTTGAATATCAAGGCTATATGTACGAAACGCTTTTGAGTCTTTGAGGGGCCTATTTAGTGGGTGTTGCGTGTTACTCTGGGGCCTCGGACTCTCAGAGACAGTAATAAGACTTCAATCTTATCAATGAATATGATTCATTATTCATTATAAATGAATACGTCTCGAACTATGTACTAGATAATTTATTTTTGCAAAGCTCGAACGGCCTTCAAGCCGGCCCCGATTGCATAAAAAAACACAACTTGTTAGGTACCTATTTCATATTTTGAAGTGGAGTTAAAAACTCAGCCTAAAATGAATTGACTAATAGATATGACATACTAATATGCTTTGTATTTTATAGACTCACTTAAATTCGTTACACCAATATGAGACCAAACTTCATATAGTCAAAGTTGGAGATCCGGATGACGTACAAATTTTTGCGATGCCGCAGACCAGGTTTATGGCAGTCACGGCATATCAAAACGAAGAGGTAACATCAACAAATTAAAACTTTTCACCTTATTTGAATATTTGAGTACTAGACAACCAGATAAACCTAGTAGTACCTAGGTACCGAAAATTAAAAAGTCCATTAGTAATTTAATTAGAATGCATGTAAAGGTACTTATTCATTGTATCAAATAGTAGTATAGAAGCCAGTAGGTATTAAATAGTAAAGAATATTGGCTTAGGTACCTTATTAAATATTGATACCTATCCGAAAATGTAATTTTAATATATTAATACAAGAGTACAATAATACCTTACCTATTGGCTATTATATTAAGTACTTCCATATGGAGACTTCATCACTCTTTTATTTTCGTGTCATTATTTAATATAATTTTATTAATAATTTGGATACCATAAGGTTTATTGATAGCTCCATAACAAATGACCTAATTAAGGATTTTGTTTGTTAAACAAATAAATAAAATGTATTATTATTTTACAGAAATTTCTAAAACATAAAGGGGTTTATGATTTTGTGCAATATTACTTATTAGGTACCCATATATTGAATGTCTAGTGATGGCTATATGTACATATCGGATTAGTTGCAAACCTACCTATTACCTTTAATAATATGCATATGATTGTTAGTTGTAGAAAATCATGTCGGAAATTTTTTAAATGACTACACATGGAAACATTTTTTCTTTAGGTGACTAAACTTAAAATCAAATATAATCCATTTGCCAAAGCGTTTAAAGACACTAAAGTCAAAGTTGAGGAAAAGGATAGAAGAGAACACCAAGATGTTTATCAGCCTGCACTTGGATATGGTATGATACACTCTCATACAAGAATTATATTTAATATTTAATGTATTATTGTTTTTTTTAACGTAGAAAGTAGCTTGAACTTTTCCTACCAAGAGAATTATAATGCAACAACATCTGACGATTGGTTGTCTCAGTACGGAGGCCAAAGAGAACCGGTGAACCGATGTCAATGCACAGCTTGTTATTTCGTTAAGCCACAAGTAAATCATAAAAAGTGTGTAGTCATTAACAGTTCTGGTCAAGACTATGAACACGCCGCATATCAGCCATCATCCTATAGTTGGACTCAATTGGGAGGATAACGTAAAATATATATAGTTCACATATTTTCACAGCCTGATATGTTGACTGTTTTAATTTAATTTTTATTTGATTTGGGTTATATTTTGTATAAATTATATTATTAATTATTATCCATTGTTTTAGTTGATGTGAATGTATATCTATAGAAGGTACATATTCGATTTGGGGTGAATAAAAATATCTACTCATATTTGTCAATTAGTAATTAAAAAATTACTTTGTCTGAATGTGCATCAATGAAATCAATTTTTTTTTTCTAAAATCTAAGTAAAATAATTACTAACGTGCATATTATTCCTAAAACAGAGCTCGTAAGCTACCCAATTTAATAGAATAAATAACAATTTGTTTTTAAATAGAAAATAGTTTAACATGACTATTATTAAATACAACTAATCGATATTCAATATATTAATATCTTCAACAAAACAATCTTAACATAATAATTACTCAATTGATACATTTTTTAATATTTTGTTTAGAAGAGAGGTGGCCAACAGGTTGGTATCAACATGATTTTGAGTCAATTACAAGTCCCTTTCCTTACAACCTTTTTTTCATGATATAAACAATAATATGGTATGATCACAAAAGTATAGATATGGTTCAAATCCTGGCAAGACGTCATTTTGCTTATCTGTTTTATTATATCTTCATTAAATTATCATTTCTATATACTTCACTACGTCACGGGCTTACCGAAAAATCTGACAGTCAAAAAGTTACGACTTACCTTGTTTTTCATATCATGATTTTTTAGTAATTTATTCATTTATTTAATCTTCGTTCTATTACTGTGTGGTCTTTCGCGTATCGACATGTAGTCTTCCGCGTTCCACTAGTGGTACGCGCACCATAGTTTGAGAAACTCTGATCTAAACTATAGATAATATTTCTTCATGTCTTTTAAATTATGTATTTACATACATTTATTTTTATAATTGTCAAATACTTATTAAATACGCATTAATATAATATTTGTGTATAACTATTGAAGAATAATATAAACTTTTTGCAGTAAAAACTTTAAATCTCTACATTTTGTTTGTAAATATTTTAAAATACAACACTATAGATGACCAATAATAAACTGTTAATTTTTTTTCTCTTATTGGTTAATGCTTTTAATGGACACAATTGTCACAATTTAAAATAAATTATTATTTACAATTCAATTTAAAAGTTTTTTTTTAATATACTTGTTACCAGTAATAATAATAATTTAGGAAAAAACTAAGTTTCCTATGAAATGTTTAAAATGTCTAGAGTTGTTGGCCAATGATTAAAAATATGCATTGTTTATTAGTTATTGCAATATAGCAGTAATTTGACATAGGCAATATATTATATGGTAACTAGTAAGTTGTATGAACTTTTCTCCAGATTTTTTATAATATTTAAATCTTCATTGAAATAGTCTGGGCTCAAATAATTTGTTCTGCAGGCACATCTATGATATTATAACATTTGTTACTACCTAAACACTTTTACATGACATACAGTTTGTTTTAAACTTAAATCTATTTTAAAACATGCTCAACAAAAGAAGATAACTGCTGTCTGGGAAGTGGGTTAAAATAGAATCACTAGACTACAGTCATGCAACAGTGGTCAAAGTGGGGGGGGGGGGGAGATTGATATAGTGGTATGGCATCTCTCCACTTTTTAAAATTCATATTTTCCATCCCTTCACTTATTTTATTTGACTGTTAAGCTATACATGAGAAGTATATAAATGATGAAAGACATCCCTCCACTTTGATCACTGCATGCTAATCATAAATATGTAATTACAATTAAATGATAATTAATTTAGTAGTATAAATATTTTTCTATTACCACATTGTTTAAAGAGCATTAGACATTAACAGGATATTATACTCGTGTGTGTCGTCTCTGTCTTACAAGAGTGTAACTTATCAAATTGTACGTTCAGCAGACCAAGTTTAGCTCTATCACTTTAAAATTAGTGTGAATAGACCTCCTATTAAGACTAAAGGTAAAATTATTACAGAGGGCATTTCATGGGCTTTTTATTATATTTTAATTTTAAAGAGAGTTGTGAGTATTTTACAGTTGTGAGATGTACAAACAATTTATAATTTTAAAATACTCATAACTCGTTTTAAAATTAAAATGTAATAAAAAGCCCACGAGATGCATTCCATAATAATCTTACCTTTAGTTTTAATAAGAGGTCAATTATCTCTAATTTTTAAAGTGACAGAGCTAAACGTTATCTGCTGAAGGTAAAATTTGATACGTTATGCTCTTGTAAGACGCAGACAACACATGTGGGTATAAGTTCTCTTAATGATAGTGCCTAGTCAATATTTATATTTTTATAAATCTTAATATAATTCCTTTGATTCATTTATAGTTTAGACATTAAACAGCCAATTTCATAATGGCTTAGAAATTCTCAACAGTGTCTAATTATCATCATTCGCGGTAACATAATATTATGGTATTATAAAATATACTTAGACCATATACTAATATAGACCATTTATCAATGGTCTAAATTTGTTGTTGTTGTTGTTGTTGTTGAGACATGACTTAAGAAGTCTATGCTTTTATAGAATTTGAAAAAAAAAACTTGAATAGTCTTATTTAAAAAGTTATAATAATATAAATAATGATACATATTTTTATATAAAAGTTATAATTAGATCAAGAGTTAATATCCTTGCTTAACAAAATCTATAAGACCAACATTTTACAAGAATTTAAATATTATTGATTACTTTTAATCCTGATAAATAACCTTTAAACTCACATCCAGCACTCAATCATAATCTACAAGTGGCCTGAAAAAAATAAAATTTTGTAAATAAAATGTATTCTAATAATTTATAAATAGGGAGTGTTGAAATTAATTGACAGATGTGCTATACACATTAGTACTACAATTAATAAATATAATGGGATAATAATAATTATTACCTATTTATTTTATACAAAACTATTTTAACAAAAAAAAAAAAACATATTGAATGATTATTTTAAGATCATTGTCACAATCAATTTTTGTGTTTTTTTTAAAGAATTATTGATTTAATTTCTAAGGGTTTGTTACCTTTTTAAACCGACAACACACAATTTTTTAATTTCATAACCTGTAACTTTAATGTAAAGATACTAATATTTATAATTAGAGCAGAGGACTTATAGCCATGGAAAGTAATCACACGCATCATACATGCAATCACTTACTCACTTGAAAACCCTATAAAAAGTGCTTTGATTTTTTCAAAAATAAATAGCATTAAAAATATAAAATTGTTTTTTTTATTGGTTAGGTAAAATACTATTACATTGATTGATTGATGAATGATTGCCTTCAAATAACAGAATAAACAGATAATCATTTTGATAAAAATTATCAATAAAACTGCAAAAATAAACCTGAACTCTCTATAACGAACCTGAAAGGACCAAGTGAAATTGTCACAGAAATTTTCCGTAATAGAGTGGGCTTAAAAAAAACAATTTTTAATATTTATGTATTAAGGTATGTATCAATGTATAATTATTTACCATACATATCATTATTTTTACATTACATAAGTAGTTAATTACATTTTTATTATTTTATTAAATTATATTAAATTATTAATACATTTTATACAATTATTTAAAATAGCCTGTCATTATTTGAACTTGTTTACTCTGTCTATTTTTTTGGTATTTTTTTATGGATTTGTCTCATGTTTTGGGATAAATTTACTTTACTTTATGTAATGTTTACGTAGTATGGTTTTTCGTTATAATGAGTTTTCATTGTAATATGTCAAAAAAAGCTATAGCTAAATATGTGTAAAAAGTCACAGATTTGTATTCATTGTAACATTACATTTGTAATCTAGCTGGCCTTTTTAACAATTATACAAAACAAATATGCAAATGCAAGAAACCCTCAGCTCTATTTATAAGAATTTAAAGTTCTAGTCAACTTACATGATTGTTCATTTTAGTCTTAATGTAATAGTAAAAATGATTGACTAGAGTTTAGACTATACTCACTTTAAATTGGATTGTACTTTGGTACTTGACACATAGCGTTTTGGACTTGCTTCATATGTTATTTTGACAATTGGACGAACCACATTTTCCTTTTTAATACGATCTGAAATTTCCCTTTGCTTAATTTCTTTCCTAACTGGACTTTCCCTCTGCTGTTTAATTTCTTTTTTAATGGGGCTCTCCCTTTGTTTTATTTCCTTTCTACTTGGACTGTCTCTTCTATTTACCCTTCTATCTCTTCTTTCGGGACTACGACGAGAACGATAATCATCTCTACGATCATAATCTCGTCTATCATCTCTTCTATATCTATCTCGTTCTTCACTCCTTCTAGACCATCTCTTATCATCACTTCTAGAACGACGACGTCTATCACTACTTTTAGACCTCCGACGTCCACCACTCCTTGATCTAGATCTATGTCCACCACTTCTTGATCTAGATCTACGTCCACCACTTCTTGATCTAGATCTACGTCTACGACTTCGATACCTAAAAATTAATATATATTAGAATATGAAAATTAACAATAACAATTTATACTACAGTATACCTAGAATAGTTCGAACTTGAACTTGAACTACTAGAACTACTAGATTTTGAACGCGATTTAGATCGAGATGATGAAGAACTATTTTCAGGATGACGTAACTGCCGTCTTCTAAAATAAGTTAATAATAAACAAAATAAATAAATATTGAATAAAAGTATAATACATACTTTCTTCTCATTTTTAATGACAACTCTTTGATTTCTTCTTCTCGTTCAATTTGCTCTCTTTCCATTTTTAGTTCTCGTTCTCTTTGTGCTTTTTTATCCGCTTTGTCTAATAACCAAATAAATGTATAATATATTAGGAAATAAAATAATAATCATTTATTAAAATTTACAAATAGTAAATGTATATATTAAAATGTTGACTTTAAAAGCAACTTCTTCACAATAAAAGTGAACTAATAGTAATACTACTGACATTGTTTGTTTAGCAAAACTTTCATTTTTCGTTTCATTAATTCTTGTGGAGTTGGTTTGCTGTCACTTGGGCCTTGCTGTAAACATATTATGTTACAATTACATCTAAATCTACAAACTTAAATTCATATCAAAGAGATTATTTATTATTATATATTTTCATTTGTTTTAAAATTCATAATCCCCTAGAATTCTGATTTATTTTTATTCGCAACATGCTAATGTACTCTTGCGATATATTAACAAATTACTGACTTTTTTGCTGGAAGAAGAAAGACTGAGATCTGGTAATCTGAAATATAATACATTTTCAATAAAAATTAGTATGTATTTTTAAAAGAACATATCAGCTTACGGAGGTTTAACGTTATTTGTATTTTTATCTTTATCATCATCATCAGAAATACTCAATTCTGATGATGAATCATTTCCTCTACGACCATAATATCTATGTGCATAAAAAAAACCAATGACAATACTATTTAAGGTATATGGGTTCCAATGAATTAATATTTTTACCGTTGAACAGGCGGTGGTTTTTGAGCAGCTGGCAACTGTGTGTTGTTCCTATTCATTTAAAAACATAAAATTACAAAATACATATAAATTTAATTTTAATCAACCTAACAATTAGTAATAAAGGAAATTGGTTATAACTTATGATGTACATGATATAAGATGTAATAGAACAGTTACACAATGCATAGTTATTTATGATCTACATATTGTTGCTGTTAAAAATATAGCAACCATTATGATTTAATTGTCTGATCAACACTATCTTATTAACAGTGACATCTAATTGAGAGTTAATTTTACATTATTCATTAAATTATTATAAACAAAAATATCTGAACCTGATAGGAGACACCGATTTATTTCGACTTCGCGATCTATGTCGACGACTATGACCCTTAGATAATGATCTAGATTTTCGACGGGGGGATCTTGAACGAGAGCTCCGTTTCTTTCTTGAATGATTTTTAGAAGTTTTAGACCTATGAATACAAATGATAAATATTAACTTAAATAATTAATACACATTGTTTGTTAAAACAAAAACATTTTGTGGATACAATGTTAATTTAAATATATTATAACATACAAATTAATAAAAACAAATAAGTAGGTAAATCACTGTTTTTACTTTGTACTTGTTTTTGATTTGTCATTGGTCGTAGGCTCTTCATCACCAAAACTAGTTATATAAGTTACTTGGCCTGAGTTTTCAGGAGTGGGTGAACGAGATGTCATCATTGATGATAGTTGATCAAAATCAGTATAACTGGGACTCTTCCTAGTTGCATAACTAAAAAAAGTAATTACAAATAATTTATAGCTGTAATTGTAACTGTTGCAATAACATAATAAATCCAAATTTAAAATTAAATACCTTAGTGGACTTAATGCTTTGCCTTCTAAAGCTTTTAACCGAAAAGCTCTACGTTCTCTTCTGGATCGCCGTCCCTAAGAACAAAATTTAAAATTGTTTGAAGTAATAAGATTTTGAAATTTGATTTAATGAATACAATTCCATTGATCATTTTTACTTTAAACCGTTTTGTTTTAATATAAATACTTAGAACATTTCCAGGAAAAAACAGACAAATAAAAAAGATTCAATACTAAAAAGCTTACAATTATAATAATTATTAATTTGAATATGAAAACTTACAGCAAACATAGCTTTTTCTTCTTCAGCTAAACGAGCTAATTGAATGTTTTCAGCCTCTTCCAAATCATTATTAAGAAAACTATAAAAATCATTAGTTGTCATGCCAAAACCATGCGCAGTAGTGTTCAACTCATTTGCTTGGTCAGTACCAATTTTGCTAACATCAATTGATAAATCTTTGAAGCAAAATAAAGCTATTAAATTACAATTTATATTCTATTTTATTTTTTAAACAAAATTTTACCAAAATCAACTTCGCTCTCCTCATCTGATTCATCAGAACCATCATTTTTAGGTTTTATATCCAAATATTTTCTGGAATCATCAGTTTGAATTGTGTCTTCATCGCTATATTTATATGGGATAGCAGCATTAGCAGTAGATTTTTTTTTAGCATCATCTGCATCTGTTTTAGTTACAGGGCCAAATTTCTCTTCCAGATAGAGTTGGTGTAAAAATTTACTTTCAGAAACTAAAATTTTAAAAATAAATGATTAAAATTAAATGATAATAGACGACTTGATAAAATATTACTGGTCAAGAACTCGTTTTGAACGAGAATACGATAACGTTCATAGTTTAAATGACGTTCTTCATAAGACATTTGTTCATCGTCATCATCTTTCCTAGGTTCTCTAATAAAATCTAAATGAGCTCGTGCATCAAATCGGTCAATCATTATTTCTTCATTTCCTTGCCAGGGCATCCTAATGTAAAAAAAATACATTCGATCCAATTATGAAAAAAACAAAAACTAAGAAAAAAAAAATTAGTAAATACTTACATAGTAGCAGGACTATTGGCGGCAATTGCAATACCTGGATCAATGTGTATTTTACATTGACGACCGTGCAGTTGTAAAAATTGTGTAGGATCAGCTCTCTGAGAATAAACAAGATACAATAATTGTTGTTGATATGTTTTGGAAAAGAAATAAAATCACTCACAATTTTTTCGTAATAATCCTTTCGTCGCTGAGCTCGCCTTTGATAGTCGACCAATAGGCCACGGATTTTTTTCTCTTGTTTTCTTGCTTCGTGCCACATGATATCTTCTTAATAGAAATATTCCAAACTAGAGAAAATAAACTAGAATTATCAGTGTGCACATGCGTCTTAATAACTTGAGTTAACTAAAACTATAATAGTTATTACGAATATATAATAGTAAAAGTTAACAGTCATTGGTCAGTAAATAATGCATACTAATGAATAATAATTATTAATTACTTAATTGTCTAACTTAAAATATGATAATAATGCTATTTAACCACGAACTTAGAATCCGTTTAATGTACGAGTATTTATACGGATACTACGGAGATTAGTATGAGTACTACTACCTAGGTATGAAACTACGAGTGTAAAATTGTTAAGATAAGGATAAACAAAATTTACACGAAGTCTCGAAGACGGAAATAGTAAACACAGTAAGTTGTGCGAGTTGAGTTTCATTGTAGTGTTATTTGTAATATCATTAAAATTTTTAATGCGTATTAGTAACATTCTTACTTACTAATTGTCTAATTTATTATATATTTCTCAATTTCTGACTTCTGTATCTACTCCAAACTCCTATGGTCATATTTTAATATTTTCTATGGCCAACTTCACGCTAAAAAATAACAGGTATATCCCAGATTTCTGATTAATCCACAATATGTCAATGTATCTACTTAATACATTATACAACACAGACATTAGACAATTTATATTATAACTTGTATATTATTATCTATGGATTTATCTTTAATAGTGGTTACCCATTTTTACATCGTTATCTATTTTATAATGTCTTACCTGGTATGTGGTAGTTAAATTATCAAATGTATTTCCCGCGTATTTTTACTCAGTAGATGCTGCCATGGATGCTGCTATCGCCTTTCAGATAAATATTCATTATTTTCAGTTAAGTACTTTTGTTTTTTACTCTGTTGCTCAATTATAGTCATTACTCATTTCTCAATAACCATTAGCGCGATATAAGATATAGGTATCTGAATCGTGATCATTAAACACTCAATATTGTATATGTATAGTCGGTTACAGTGACAGTGAGATTTAGTTAGTCAGTTGTCAGTACTTTCATTTCATATATTGTCCCGTGGTACTTCTATTACAGATTAGGTTTTAGATTACTTGAATACTTGATGCATTTGGCAGCAGCTGCAGCACTTACTATTTACTAAAATAGTTAATACTTACTACTACAGTGAAACTGCAGACAGCAGTTGCAATCGGATTGTTAAAAATAGTGAATTACGTTAACGGTACTACTCAACTGTTAGGCACTGTGTAACCACTATGGATTCTACGATTTCTGTGTCCAAGGTAAGTTTTTATATTTACTTTTGAATATGAAACTGTAAGTATGGTACTCACCTATATCAACCTAACAATACCACCAATGATTTCGATAAAATCAGTGAATCTATCTTGATAAGTTTGCATGTTTGCATTATATGATTTCACTAACTAAAAGTAATAACAATGACATAATGTTATGTTTTTAAATTCTAAATCATAATAGTATGATTATACATTTATTTTTCAATATAAGAAAATTCATAACTATAAGCTTTAACTCAAACAATTTTCATTTATTATTGTTTCAAATTTTTTAAACTATAAGACAATAATTGGTATGTTAGAAATTCAACTGTATTTATTTTAGAGTACTGTTTATTTGTTAGATATATTATCAATAGCTGATATATAAATTACCTTTATATAAGTAAGTTAAAAATAATGATTTTGATTGTTAATTGCTTAGGGATGTTTTGTGTTTAAAAAACCAAACAAGGAAAAGAACAAAAGAAAAAGCAAAAGCAAGAAACAATTGACAACCAATAAATCAGAAGATGAGTTATGGCATACTACGTACACTGATATTTGGAATGATGTTAAATCTAAAATTGATGTAATTATTGTTGAAATAATTTAACATTTAAATACTATATAGTATTTATAATCAATGGTATTATATACAACTAATACATTAACACACATGTATGAAATGTTATAGGATTTAAATGGATCAATATACTCCAAGTTTATTTCAGACACTGTTGATTTCCTGACAACATCAAACATCACTACAAATCAATATATTCCAACAGCATGTTTACTTACAGGTTTAGTTTTTAAAATTAAATTATTAATATGTTTTTCTATAGTAGTGTATTTTTATTTGTATAGGGGTGAATTTACCAGATCATGAATCACTATTTGGATTATTAGCAACCGATTTAGAAAAATCTCAGCCACCTGTTATTGTTGCAACTCTATTTTCTGAGCACTTTTCAAGTGTCAAAAATGCAGTTATAAGTATGGTGTCACAACTGTTAAACACAAATAATGATGATTCCGATGTATGACTACAATTATTCTTTAATATAATATGTATATTTATAAAAATAAAATTTAAGTAAATGAATATTGGATTTTAGTCTGATGAAGAAATCGATAAAAGTTTAAATTCAGTTGTTAAACCATCTGAATGTACTATATCTACTTTAATTGAATGGTTTAGTCATCAACCAACTGGAACTCGTATAGCAATTCTAGTAAAAGATTATGAAATGTGTCAACAAACAGTCTTACAAAATTTCATCCTACTTTTAAGGTTTTTTTGTTAAATTATTCATTATTATTACTTATAATATTATTGTTTACTTTTCTATTATTTTAAACACTTTGTTTTTGTTTTACAGTTGCTATATAAAAGAAATTCCAATTGTATTGGCTATTGGTATTGCAACTTCTATATCAAACTTACACAATTCTTTACCTCATCACGTGGTCACTAAACTTAAAGTGAAAATGTTTGTTAGTGAAGCATCTGTAGTATTTTTAAATAACATCATGGATCAGGTATAATCTATTAATATTTTTATCAAGTTATACCATAATTATTATTCGCCTATTTTAACCATGGTAATCTTGGTTACTAATGGTTTTATTACAATAATAGTAATGTTGTACAGTTATTATTAAATTATTACTATTATCAATTATACATGAGTATATTCTAGATGTGTATACTTTTATATATATTCATTAAAAACTATTAATTTGATGGTAGAAAAAATGCTATGATTTGTTAACCCACAGAATTCAAATGAAAAAATTATTTTTATAATTTGTATTTAGGTATTTTTAAAGCCAGACTGTTCATTCTACTTGGGTGGGCGGATCTTGGAATATGTGACTGAAGTATTTTTATATTATAATTTTTCTATTAAACAGTTTATAGAAAGTCTCAAGGTAATATTTATAAAACTTGATAACTTGATAATTTACAATTTTTACTATTAACAATTCTTACAGTTTTGCCTCATAGAACATTTTTATCTAAAGCCTCTTAATTGCATTTGTGTGGCTCATGAATCAGCACAAGAAGCTTTATTTGATTCTTTAGATAAAAAAACACTAGAAGAAATTACTAAACTGCGTTCAACTAATTATAAATTAAAAATCGACAACAATTTTAAAGTATACATCTCTTAGATAATTGTTCAAATATTCAATATATTTATGTAAACATTTATTTTCAATAACAATTCCAGGAAACATTTTTTCAATTAATTAGAGCATTGAAAGCTTGTATTGAAGATTTTCATATTGGACTAAGGGTTTTACACATTTTAGTGGCGGACTTACCACATTCGCCATTAGGAACTCAAGTATATAAATTGATAACATTTTATTTATAACTGTTTTTGTATTTGTTTTTAATGTATATTAATGTTACGTTCTTAGCTCAGAGAAATGTATTGCACTGGAATGAAGAAACACATAATTGACAATGCATCATACAAAATTTGTTTACAATTATTAAAATTTTTGTCTAAAGATGATTTACTTGCAAAATTTGACCAGGTAATTTTTATGTTCATACTTTTATATACTATTGTAATTTTTTTTTTACATATTATGTACTTTTCTTTATATTATTTAGATAATTCATATTTTAAAGAATATAAATAATAATAAACGGGCAAAAACTGCTTTAAAATTAATTCAAAGCTATGTAAAACGTTTAGAAGAGTCCCATTTAATTAATTTAGTTATTGTAGAAGATAAACCTCAAGAAAAACCTAAAGACAATTTACAAGCTATATCAAGATCACAATTTAAAAGAGTAAAATTTTAAATTTAACATAGTTAATTAGTTATTAAATTATATTATTTTTTATGGTTATTATTTTATCTTTTATAAAAGAAACTTATAGACAATGTAAAATATGAAGATACCCGGCCAATGACTGAGTTTGAAAAAGCACGTTCAGAGACTTTAGATCATTTAACGGAAGTAATATTAAAGCAATTTCTTGTACCTCCAACAACCATGCCCTTAAATGAATTGTTAATATTTGATGATTTACCGTCTATTAGACGCAAAATTGTTGGAGAAGATAGAGCTGCTCAATATACAGCATTTGTCAATCCTCAACATTATATAGATGTAAGAAATCTTCATACATAAATGATTTGCATAAACTCAAAGAATAAATATTATGTCTACAGTGTGATTGCTGTGAATTGGAATTTACAGAACAAATATTAAAAACCATGCCAGATATATCTATTGTATACAAATTACATTTAGAGTCAAGGTTTGACCAGATTAATATATATGATTGGTTACAGGTAACTTATTCTTAAGATTATGTATTCTAATAATGCAGTTAATTTTACATTTTTTTTCATTACATTTTCAAATATTATTTCATCTATATATTAGTAAAATATTTTTGAAAACCTCATTAAAGGTTGCCACACACAGCAATAGTAGCGGTGGCGGTAAAATGAGTCCGGATACAATTTGCCGCTCCAGTGTGTGGACCTTTAGTCTTATTAATTAAATTGTTTTAATATAATTATTGACTAGGTTTCAGGGTATTGGTAGTTGATAATATATATTAATTAAACCTTTCAAATTAATGTTTTAAAAAAGTATCGGTTTTTTTTTTAGAAATTTATTTCAATTGTTGGTCCTGATCAAAACGACGACGACAATAATGACGATATAGATCCAGTATTACAGTATCCTTTTAATCTAATGTAGTTTTGATGATTCTCTGTATACTGGTTTTTACTGACGTGACATGTTTTATTTATAAAACTTATAAGCTACTCAAGTTTATTTGTAGTCCATAGTCTGAACTCTCTTACATAAATTACATCTATTTGATGTTTCCGCCAAAAATTTGAAATTTTTAAGATTTAATGTTTATTATTTAGGGGCCGGTCCAATATGTGTTCTACCAACGAATTTGTAGCCTAACATTTAATCTACTGGAAAATGTGATCTACCAACTACATTTTTATGTATGCTATTTATTCATATACTTACTAAAATCTTATTTTAACAAAAATTTATAATCATATCATATTTAGTTTATTTAAGTTAATAACTGTTAGATTTATTAACTCAACGAGGTACATTTGTATACAAGTAAACCATGTTTTACTCTGTCATTTCTAGACCATAGCCAAGCTGCTATTATCTGCATATTCAAGTGTTCAAAGTTTATATAATTTGATAATTTTTCTTTTAAATATTTTTCTCTGCTTCTGATTAGCACTCATATTGATAGAATAGAGTTTTGCACTTTTGAAGTGTCAGCTGTGCTTACTGTAAAACTTCTTAACATATATTGAGTTGATGTTTTTTCATTATTCTTTATATTCAACATTTTAACCATCATAATATTTAGTTATTAAATGTACTAAAGCCTGCTGCTTAGATAGGTAGTTAAATATTTTTAATTTGACAAAATTATTTTTATAATATATTATTATTTTATGGGTATTGCTTTTGAATTGAATGGATTTCATCAGTAGGTCGATGAATATTTAATAATACATTAGAAAACTTTTTTTTTCCTTAAGAAGTTTGTGTATTAGATCTCGATTTGTGCGAGCTGTTAATGAATTGCAGCATTTGGGGTACATACGACCGTCTAAGTACAAAGCAGATCATGTGCAGCGCCTTACGTGTGGTTCTTGCTAATGTTTAATGATTGAGAGGACACTACGCCCGAATGTGTTGTCTCCAAATTACAAATGTAATACATAGTAAAAACGATTTTCGTGGGTAAGAACCACTTGGGCTGTAGTCCAAGCTAAGTAACTGAGTGTTCACACTTAAAAGAAGAACGCATATTTTACTGTACAACGTTGTTTTTATTTTTTTGTTATTATAATTTAAAAAAAAGTTATTCAAGTTTGAAACGCAATAGCCTATAATAATATACTTTCAAACAACAAGAACTTGTTTCGTATTTGTGATATCGAAAAACTAAAAACAACGTTGTCCAGTCAGTGTTCTTTTCTTTCTAGTGTGGACATTTAGTTATCTAACTTGGACTACAGCCTGAGTGGTTCTTTCCCGCATGAACTAGTGTTTGCTATGTTGTACATTTGTAAGACCACGACAACCCACGCGAGTGTAGCGTTCTCTTATAATACCTATTATTTATTAATCACTGGTTTTTAATACCTACTTCTTTTTTCTTACTTTGTATCCGAAAAAAAATTATTTGTATGTAATATTATTATTTTTTTAATGTGTGGTATTTAATAAATATTATTTTTATTCAATACAAAAAATAAGTCAACGTTGCTATTATGCTCAGAATGAGGACGTGCAAGCGACCCTATGGAGTCTAATAATTAACCACAAGTTCCTCGATAAAATCGTTTTGTTAATTATAAACTCGACACAGAATTGGGTCATTTCATAGTCTTTTATATATGTACAATATATGTACTTATGTATATTATACACACATATTATGATTTGTGATTAGGTATGTGTTTTATTGAAAGGAACAAACAATGAGACTGTGTCATAGGTGTTGGCACCTATGTTTTATTATGTACGTCATATTATGCTGCCACAAACGCCTGACACCACAAAACCTGTGGGCTGTCCGAAATACTGCTATAAAACGAGAGTGTACCACTGTACCTTCATGTTACCTATATTAATTGTCCCGGCCCAAACTATATAGGCTGTTTAAAATAAGACTCTTGAGTGTATCTATTCCACCACAGCAGCCGACTGCCGGAGCCCGGAGGTTAATTTATAGGCAATTAGGCGTGTACAGCGTATTAATATATGTTGATGCTTGCATTTAATAGATAGATCTTTTTGCAAATAAAGAGAATGTGGGGCCCAATAAACGTAGTAAAATAATAGTGTTAATAGTGGAATTTAAGGGGTTGAATTTAATCGTTTCTAATTATGACTCGTGTAGACATTCGTAATAACTTTTAATAAATAACAAAAATAAATTTAATCGTCATGTTAAGTATGAAGTTAAAAAGTTTTCATTAGGTGTAAATTGCTAATAAGTAATAATCACACAACTAAAAACTAAATTTGAATGAAATGTTCACATAACCAATTATTTTAAAATCAAAGCATTGCATGAGACTTACATTAAACTGTGGTCGGGGTGAGGGGCAAAGTAAAAGCTAAAGAGGCCTTTTATGGAGACTTAGACCTTGTGCTTTTTTCGGCAATTGTTATGCAGCAGATACCTATTTCTTGCCTATACCTATAGATCAGGGACAAGTTGATTCTTTTTAAAATAATGTAAGACGTTTGTTTTATCATTTGTTTTTTTCTGTGTGAGTAGAAAATCTGGACAATTAGGCAAATACCTGCAAGATTCTCAACAAGTTGTTGATCGTATACATAGTAATTTAAAATGTCCAAAATTCCTGGTACAATTATTTTTTAAAGCATTCGAAGAACATAATTGAGAAAAATTTGTTGTTAAAACAATGTATCCATGTAAAAATTTTCAATATATATTGTAACAGAAACACCACTCCGGCGCACAAGACTATTTTCTCTAGGAATCCGTTTATGATTTATTAAACGCGCACTGAGGTCCAAGAAATTGCTGAGTTTCTCGTGCTTTCGTGCTGAGTATATTGGTTGTTTAGTTTACTGGTATCCAGGTGCAAATATCCATGATTGTACTTTTTGTTGACTTGTACGTTCATTTATTGTTTGACAAAATCGATTTTATTATTTTTGTTCAACCGACTCGAAAAATATTAAGTAACCGTAGTTACTTTAAATTTTTATTGGATTTTAATGTGAACATTTTCCATACATGATACAGTATTAAAATTATTTTGACTCTGAGCTATTTATAGACATGTAAACATTTTAAAATTTGTAAAAAAAAAAATATTCGATAAACAATTGTTCACTTAATAAAAAAGCTTGAAAATGTAATGTCTCATTAGTTTTTTTGATAGCTGGTTTTTTGTGCAAACTTGCTGCAAGATACGGATGTTGTTACATATCTAATTATCCAAAGACCCGACGGTAATCACTAATCACGACCGCAGTTTAACCTAAACTACGATCATTTTGGTCACAAACTAAAAAAATTCCTTAGGCATGTGTTGTGCTGTCGCTGCGCGTAGTTCCGAGAAATAAACTGCTGTTGTGAACTTTACTTTATGTAGCTTATATACTGTATAGTTACCATCTACGGAAATAATAATTTTTGAGATTGTTTTGACAAAATTTCGATAATGTAAAAATTATAAATGTTTAAGATAATTGTACAAAATTTCAATAAGGGAGAAATGTTAAATTCATAATTTCAATCATACTTATATTAGAGGTATCTATGTACAGATTATATTATGCATTTCAGATACCGAGGATTCAAAGAGATCGGATTACGCAATGGCCCGGAACGGATGGGGGAGTATGCAAAAGGCCCTAATAGTCTGTTTAGCATAGAAAAAAAAATAAAGTATAGTATGATAATTTTTTAATTCATGTTCTATGACCCTAGATTATTTTCTAATTATTGGGAATTAATTTTAATTTTTTTAATTTAATAATATAACATGGTGAAGTCACGCATAAATTCATTTTTATATTCAAATATTTTTCTTTGTAAATATTTGTTTATAAAGAGAGTTGGAAAAAAAATGTTATCCGGGTTCTAAAATTCAGAATATGTTTCTGAGTGAGCATCATTGATTTTATAATATGCTATTCTATAAAAAATATTTTGTATTATGGTTTATTATAAAATCAATGGTGCAATTGGTACTAGGTTTACATAGGTATAGGTACACCACAAAACTGGTATAGTTTGGAGAAGCACTTATTCTCGAGGGGTTTTTCGTTTGCAGCTGCAGATGTAGAATTATATTTATATTTTTGTATGACAACTGTCTACAGTTCAAAATGAAGATAAAGTAAGAACCTTGAAATTGAATTATACATTTATACTTAAGCAATGAATGCATATTGTTAAAAATATTGTTCCTTTATTAATTGTAATCAATGGAAATTCATAAAAAAAATTACTAGGTATCACGAAAAAAATGACTTGGCAGTCTCGTCATAATATTATAGATAAAGAATAAATTCTATGTTGGCACCTATTATTATAGTATTATATTCAAAGATAAATAAACTAAATAAAATTGATTTTTACATTTTGTCCATTTTTCCAACTCACAAAAGCTGTTCAAATTAGAAAAAAATACCTTATTAGATTCCGAGTGAAGCTATAAATGTATTGATTTTACAGCGATGTGAGTTTGTTATGTGTGTGTAGACACGATACGTAGTTGAAATAATGATTTGATTTTTAACAATGAATGAATGTAGTTTCTGATGGAAAATTTTATCTAGTTCGTAGATACGTTTGAAGGGTCAAAGTTGAAAATTTGCAGTAGTTTTGTTAGGTAAAACAGAAAAAAAAATTTAGGAAAAACGGAAATTCTTATGCAAAAACAGTTTTTGACAAAATCGATTTTTTTTGTGTACCTAACTTAAAAATGAATAACATTAGATATATATAGCTGATCAGTACCCATTTGTCTAACATTTGTTTTATCAATATTACGAATATATTATACGTAGCTGAAATATGTAGGTACATTGACTACATTGTTCATATAGATAACTTGTCATATTACATACTGATTTAGGCGTCACAACAATATGTAATTAAAACAAACAAAGTGAGACTGACGATAACCTCAATATATTTTTTTAAAAACCTTATAAGTACCTATTAATATAATATACTAATAAATATATTAATAATATAATATTATAATTACCTACAGTGTGTACTACCTTTGAGAAACACTCGCAAAAGCAGGAGAAAAAGTCCTGTAACCTCCGTATTTTTCATAGACTGCAGGTTGAAAACGGAAATTATCATGGTTACGGTTACCCGATCGTGAGTATACCGTATACTGCAATCTGTCGATGTGGACCGTGGTCAGTGGTATACCACACTCGCCCTTTCAGATTTTATATCGCGGTAGGGACGGTGTCGGACTATTATTACCGCTGCCGTGGCGACTGTAATCCATAAATCGTACATGGTTCACCGTACTTGCGAACGGGTACCTAACTGTTCTAACTACGAAATTTTCAGTTGGTCTGCAGAAAACGGTGGCAGCCAACCATATTGGCCGCGCCGTTCGATTCTCTATCAGACAGTTTCCATTCTTAAGTGTATAAAGTGTTGTGCAATGCGACGACAGCCCGGCGAAACGGGTCTTGATAATCCAGTATTATTTACTCCCACAGTCCTACCATCAGCGTCATCTCTGTCACCCGTTCCCCGAGAATTATGAGTAGACTGAGTAGAGGGCGAAGCATCAAAATAAGACTTACATCAGTCACTTAGTAGCCTTGAAATGAGGGTGGTGGGCAATGGACCATGTCTTCCCCCCGTCTGTCGTATTTTTGCTGAGCATTACAATGTAGAAAAATAAATATTGACCGCTTTTATAAAAAATCTCCTAGAAGAATGAAAGTTTTATTATGGTCTTGGACACGATAATAATAATATAAATAAATTTTTGTTAGAAATATTATTCATTTCAGTACCTAGGTAGGATTTATTTATTGTTATTTTGTTATGTATTTGATCATATAATAAGTATTAAACTTATCTTACAAATTTAATTTTTATAAGGTTTTTTCTGTTGCACCCACTTTTCTCCCGCCAATCAGAAATCTTAGCTATGTCATTAAAGTTACCCATTTATATTATTATTACAGATCATAGGTTCCTCGCAGACACTATCTTGGACTCATCTATATATATTATACGACCGTCGTTTAGAATTCGTCGTAGTTGTACTTCGCAATGGAGTTTTGTGCTTGGATTTGTATAAAACTATACGGAACCCAAATAAAACCAATTGATAGTCCCATCGTGACCACAAACTACGTAAATATTAAAAAAAAAATAATAGTAATAATCTCTAGACTCAATAATGTTATAATATATAAGTATATAACCAACAATTCCAAAATTCAGGTGTTGGATGAATGCATGACTTGAGGTTAAGTTTCGTAGTAATAAAAAATTATACCCAATAAATTATGCAGACATTAGTGCGCCTATTGCAGCATTCCAGTATTATATTATTGAGTTACAACAATGTAACGAGCGACATAATTGTAATACGGACCGTTATTGTAGCGTATTGCGAATTACGAATGTCGTTTTCGAAATATACACCACGTCGTGTGTAATAAACGGCTC